ATGGTGTGTTATCTTTGTTCCTAACATCTCTACTTTTACTGATGGGATGTAGTCTGTTATTTTGTGGCACAGTGTGTACTGCTTTAGCAATTCATCTCAGTGCTTATCTGTTGCTTAGCTTTGCAGGGAGTGGAAGGGAATCCTTTAATGACCAACACCATGTTATTTCCTTAGGGTAATTACTGTTAATTACCGTTCCGCTGCAGTCCCAAGAGCACAGGTTCTGCACAAAGACTTTGAAACACACAGATTGTATTTCTGTCTTGGAACACATCATGCTGCAATTCTTTTTCCTTAGGCTATGACAATCCATTACTACTTCATCAAAGGTTTAATTAAACCCATTAGTTTGCAGAAATGGTCTGCATGCTTCAAAAATGGTCATCCTTAACCTACTAAAATGTTATTTTAGTATTTTTTTCAAAGGTATAAGCTCAAATATAGTGTTAACTGTTGAGACAAAAGGTCTGAAGTGGAAAGAATCAATTTTTATAAGAAGTATTGCTGATTTATTCTAGGTGAGTGATGCAGATTAAATCACTAGCTGTGTTTTATTCTTCCTTCTTTGAAGATTATTCTAAAAGATATTCTTCTTGGGCAGTACGTATATTGTTAAAAAAAAGATTTGTGTTAAACTCCAGGGAAATAATTTTAAGGCTTGTGATACTAACATTCATGATTTTGGGATATTAAAGGCAAGCCTTGGATATTCAGTTTTTCATTTAAGTATAATTTCTGTACAGATATTGATTAAAATAATTTAGTGCAATTCTTCCCAGACGTTGGACAGAAGGTCAGACGGAAGAGGTCTTTATATTCTCACAGAAAATGCAGCTTTCTAGATGAACTCAATAGTTGGTTGAAATAGATTTTTTTTTTTTTTTTTAAGAATCTAATCTAAGAAATATTACCCGGAACTTTGTTAAGAAAGCAAAATTCTCCCTGCCACATGCTTAGAACCCTTGAAGTATTTCCAAATGTCACAAAGAAGAGGTCAGCACCATCTTTCTGAATTGTGAGGCCATTGGCTGTCACAGTGCATCAGTAATGATTTGTGCGAGAGTGAAACTGGGTACCTCAACATCCAGTTCTCTGCCATGTCCTGCATCTATTCAAAAAATCTCCAGAAAGTAAAAAGGTTTGTCTTTCACCAAAGTAGGTCATTTTCCAGGAGTAATTCTAGAGCTAATGAAGCACAGTTTCTACAAAACTGCGTCTCGGTGTTGATTGACTGTGGTTCTGTGAAGGCATGATTTTCATGCTTTTGCAACAGTTAGTGTAGGAGAAATCTACCAGGTGAATTGTCTGATATCGCATAAAAGGATGAGCTCAACTTGGCAGTACTGAAGGCATTCATGGTCCCTTCTCCTCAAAGGAACCACCTGCTTTTGTAAGCTTACATGAACTTGATACCTGCAAACAGACGTGTCTTCCCTGTTTAGTAACTGACTTTCTCACCTACCAGCTCACTTTGTGTGCATTCGTTCGTGGATATTCACAGCGTGTATGTTCGTGTAGCTGCACCATCTACATTTGACATGGACCTAGATTCAGAAGCATAAGTTCTTCATCGAGCTTAGCATCTGTGCCTTGTGACCTTCAAGTTCGTTTCTTATGTTTTTTGCTCCTCGGTTTCCTCTTGTGAACCTTCAGAAGTATCACTTATTAATTCTAGATGGTGCAATACAGCAATTGGGTCATGTTAGTACCACAGCACTTATGCCAAAATCCAGACATCAAAACCATATCTGGCAAAATATTTCAAGAGAAATAGACCCACTTTATTAGATAATATTTGATTAATCTGAAGTTCATGTTATGTAGAGCTGGTTTGTTCTTTGTGGCACAAATAGTGTGTAAAAAGGAGAGGGGATTGTCTAGAAAGTTATTATGGAGATTAATATGAATTACCAAATAAAGCAAAAATAACATTTAGAGAATATGGAGGATGGAAAGTCAAGCTCAGAAACAGCAAATGCAAGAGTTTGAAGCGGTGTTGGTCATGGTAAAATGCTTCCAGAGGTGAATTAAATTTATCTTGTTGGAATGATGGGTTTCTCTTTTGAGAGGCAGATTCAGGTTTTTGAATAGTTGTTGTACATGCAATAGAAGTGGATGCCTTTTGATTTCTTAGATTTGGATCACAAAGCATTTTAACACTTGCAAGTGGAACATGGCTACTAAAGGGGACTGCAAGGAAAGCTATTCTGTTTACTTAGTAAAGCATTTATGTCCAAAACTGAAATGCCAGATTTGTTCTATGCTGTGTAACGTCAAAGCAAGATTTTCAGCATCTTTTTACTTATGAACGTTATTAGAGGAAAAAAACAGGCAATTCTGCAGTTTATTTTCTAATATAATTGCATTTCAGTCAAAATGTGTCAGTTGTTTTACTGATAGATTTTTATTAAGGCACAGAACAGAAGGTAGCAGTACATTGCTAGCAGTCCAGAAGTCAACTTCAGTGAAGCCAGACAGTGTTTTAGTATTTCAACTTAGATTGTATGTTCATTCAACTTAGAATGTAAAGTTTTGCTTTGAAAACTAAGGAAAGAGAATGCAAATTTGCAAACTGCAAGTGTGTTCGTACAGTTGGATCTCCATTCAGTAGAAATGTTTCTCCCTATTTTAATTTTTTTTAAATCGCATTTGAAATAATATTTAAATGGGGGGAATTGGACAGTGTTGCTCCTTTTGTTTCATTCTTTGAATGCATATGTGCACATATATATATTACATATCTTTTAGATTAGTTTTATCACCTGTAATCCTGCACAAGCTAGATGATATTTGGGTGCACTGCTTAGTGGGAGTTTTGATATGTTTTGCTCTCTCGTGATCCCCACATGCGTTTTGCATGTGCAGGAATGAACTGCTGCTGTCAGACAAGTTCACTGAGCCAGCAGCGTGCCCTGGCAGCCATAGGGCCCCGCACCTCGGGGTGCACCAGGCCCAGCACTGCCACCGGGCGAGGGGAGGGGTGTCCTGCTGTGCTGTGCGGCCTCAGCTCCAGCAGTGCTGCGGGTCTGTGCCACTGCGTGAGAAGGACAGAAAGCTGTTAGGGAGCATCCAAAGCATGGCTACGAAGATGGCAAAGCGTCTGGAGGGTGAGGTGTGTGAGGAGCGGCTGAGGTCCCTGTGTTTGCTCAGCCCAGAGCAGAGGAGCTGAGGGCAGCCCTCATGGCGGCTGCAGCTCCTCACAGGGAGCGGAGGGCAGCGCTGAGCTCTGCTGTGTGTGACAGCGACAGGGCTGAGGGAACGGCATGGAGCTGCGTCAGGGGAGGGCAGCTGGGGGTGAGGGAAAGGGTCTGCACCAGAGGGTTGGTGGGCATGGAACGGGCTGCACAGGGCAGCAAGCACAGCCCGAGTGCTGGAGTTCAAGACATTGCTCTCAGACATCAGGTTTGGATGTTTGGTGGTGATGTGTGGAGCCAGGAGTTGCACTCAGTGATCCCTGCGGGTCCCTTCTAACAGGATATTCTACACTCCTATGTAGGCTGCAGTCAAATCACAGTCTTGGCAGCTGCTAAGCCTGGTTGGGTTCCCAATTCAGACCTCTCATGTGCTTTTGCTTCTTTGAGATATGGATCACATGGGATCTCTTTTGATCCACAAAACAGGATCCGGATTTCAGATACTTATAGACATTTCTAGAGTTGTGTCAGGTATGTGGGCAGCCTCAATTCACAGTTAAATCTTTTGGAGACAGTACAACAGGAGAATAAGGAACACAGGCTTGATGAAAGGTTTTCATCTATTCATGATGGCTATGCCACAGGCTCCCAGAATTGTAGATTTTTTTCTGAGAGTATGAAGTTGTTCTGCTGCTTACCCGGCAGTCTGACAGAACTTGAAACTGTCGGACTCCGTCCTGCTGCCTTTCTCCTATACGGAGGCTGAGGGAGAGTTGTTTCCCCTTGTCCATTAATGCTGCCATACGTCTGTGTCACAGTCCCCCTTAGTTTTCAAAATGTTAGGCTGAAGGATTCTAGCTTACCTTTGTTAATCCTGTAGCAGAAAACATTGGAATTTTGTTGTTGTTGTTTAATTATTTTTTTTTTCAATTATTATTTTCCCTTAATAACATGAGTGAACCCAAATTGCCTGCTACATTTATCAGTGGCATAATGGTTGTACTTAGTTTTCTATTCCCTGGCTAGTAATTCTTAATTGGGTATTTTTCTAGAGCAGTAGGGAAGACCTCGATAATGAATAGTAGTAGTAAGTTTATAATTTGTGATTTTTATATGTAAAGTTAGAATTTATTTCCTTCATTAATTCACATTTATTAATATTTAATGTGTTTTCTTGCTGAGCCATTCGGTATTTCTACTGGAGCTTATTATAACCTGCACAGTTCTTCATTATTCAGAATACTTGTTGTCTCTTGAAAACTGCACCCCTCTATGACTGACCTCCTTTTCACTGTAATTTATGAATATGTTAAATAGCACAGATCCTAGGGGGGTGATCTCATGACCTTCCTTTCCGCATGCTGGCCATCACCTCCTTCTTACAAGCCTTTAAAAAGTTTTCTATCCTTTTGTTACTACCTTTGTGGGTTGTTGGGTTTTTTTGTTGTTGTTTTGAAGAGTTTTTGATGATGGCCATATTTTAAAGTGCCTTTTGCAAGTCTGAGTGGATATTAAATGGATCTCCTGCATCCCAAATACTTTTTCCTTCGGAGAATGCTAGTGTATTTGAGAAATATGTTCCTGAACAAAGGCAGTTTCAACTCTTTAAAATGTTGTATGTTCTGCTGTGCCTTTCAGTAATTTTGTAGTTTCTATTCAGATGTATAGGTGTTAATTCTTTTAATACATATGCAGGAAGCACTATTCTATCCCATTTTTTGTTGGTGTCATTGAGTTTGTTGACTGGAATGTAAATTTGCTTTGGTAAACAGCTGTTCCATGATAGATCCAGTTCTGTTTCTTCCCGTTGGAATAAATATTCAGAATAGCACTGTTGCGACTAGTGTTTCTTCTTTTAAATTTTAGCTGTCCCTTTTCCACCAACGCATCGTTTGACATCTGAAGAAGTGTTTGACACAGATGGAAAACCCAGGGTTGACATTTTGAAGAACCACTTGATAAAGGAAGGTCGAGTGGATGAAGAAATTGCACTTAGAATCATCAATGAGGGTGCTGCAATATTACGGAGAGAAAAAACTATGATAGAAGTTGAAGCTCCAATTACAGGTAATGTTTCTAGATTATTTCACTAATAATTAAATTTTGAAAACATTCAGGTTTTTTTTCACTAGTATAGTTTTTCTTAAGGATCACTAGAATAAAATTTTTGTGTAATCTTTTTGAATAATCTCACACAGCATTTGCTTAGCAGCACTCAGATGGCCTGAAAAAAGACACTGCTCATTACTGTATAAAACTGAGGCATTGAACCTGCTGGGGATTAAAACTGAGTAAGCAGGGTTTTAACTCAGACAAAAGAGAAAGTAGTTAAATGCTTGTGAATTATGAATTTCTAATTCCTGTGATGCAAGTGGGAGCAGAGATGTTTCCCCGGAACAGATAAGTGAGCTCAGAATTATTCTGAAATCTAAATATGTGAAGAGAAGCTAATTGCTGTTGTTTGAAGCAAATACTGTGACCTAGTTTTCTGAGTGAAAAATACACCTTATAGTTCCTCTGTAGGCGAAATTGACGATTGAGTGCAAAAGGTGTTCTTATGAGAGTAGTAGTACTGGGGAGCTAAGACTGTTTTGCCATCATTAATGTAATGGGAGTGATCTGCTGTGATGCAAAACTGACCTGCAGTGTTTCTAGGGATATTTTCGTACTTGGACTAGTTCTGTTTGTATTTGACCTGGAGAAAGATGGACTTAGTGTCCTTAATGTATTGTTTTTTATTGTTGTTACAAAAAATCCAGATTCATAGAAAATATTTTATATTGCATATCTATAATTTAAAATAATGAATGTAGGTTTTATTTTTTTGTGTGTCAAGTGGTCTTTAACTTGAAAGCTTTCTTTTAAATGGGCCTTGGAAAACTAAGTGTTTCCAGATGCTTATTTCAGGGCATCGGCTTGCTGTGATTTGTTAATGTCAGGCAAATGAAAACATGGAAGTAGTATGTGGGTGTTGGCATTTTAAAGAAAATTAAACTACTGACCTGGTGGGAACAAATAACTGAATGACTGAACTCAGAATATTTTCAAGTTCTAGATCAAAACTAATGTCCATATGTTTAGGATTTTTATCTTTCATTTCATTTGGGTAGCTGCCCTGTGTTACTGGTATATTGGAATCTGAAAGAGAGGAATGTTCTCGCAGAGTTTGAGTAAATATCTTCACAGAAGTGACAGACAAGAGGATGCATTTTATTTGGTCTAATGTTTTGTAGGTCTTTGTGGCAGTTGTTTTACTCCAAGGAAATAACAATATGCCAAGTGCCATATCTGATGCTTCTTTCCAAAATTAGAAGGACTTGTTTTCCCCAGCCCAAATTTACTGATGCACACCAAGAAGTCGAGAGACTGTTGATCTGCTGATCAGTGACATTTTGTGTCGATAGAAGGCGTAGGCTCTCAAGTGCTATCAGCAGCACCTCCCTGCAGAAACAGGAAAGCAACTCCTGAGTTCCATTGCACTGGAAATTCTTGTGGGAATTAGGAGTTAGGAGCAGTTGTCTCTTCCATTTGAGGTTGTTTAGGTTTTGGTTGTTTTTTTGTTTGTTTGTTTGTCTGTTTTTTTAATTGCAAGATGACCTGGCATTGCTGCGTGCTCTTCAGAGTCTTCCCAGCTGTTATCTTTGGCACTTGTGCCTTAGGTTGTGCTGACCACTGATCTTGTACTGTTTTATATTCTACAACCACAAGAAAAATCCACTGTTGAAATAATGAACATGGTTATTTGAAGGAGAAGAGTAGAAAAGAAGGTATGATGATGTTGAAAGGTGTGATAGTCAGAAAACAAAGACATACTCGCCCTGCTTTTTTCAGTCCCTCGTGGAAACAGCAAATTGTTGCAGAGCAGCGTTGCAATACCTTTTCAAAATGCATACGAAGGCAGATCTGTGAAGATACATAAGGGGCTGGGGGAGACAGGAAAGGGCTGCTGACAGCCTTCAAGACCTCAATGCTCTGTGTTTTAACTATTTTTGAAAAATATTCCACAGTCTGCCAGATGCAAATCTGATTGTTATGAGCATTGCTACGTGTAGTGAGAACAGTATCTTAGTGAGCAGCAGAAGGTGAAGCTTCAAAAACTTCTCTTATTTCTTTTTTATGCATGTCTTTTCATTAGAAGTACTTTGTGGCTGTTTACTTAACTATAACTTAGTAACTTTTCTGTTAGATTTTTTTAAATTAATTTGAACAAAATTTTTGCTTGCAGTGTGTGGTGATATACATGGCCAGTTCTTTGATCTAATGAAGCTGTTTGAAGTGGGAGGATCACCTGCTAACACAAGATACCTCTTCCTCGGTGACTATGTAGACAGAGGTTATTTTAGTATAGAGGTAACTGAATATATTAATCTGTTTGTCCTAAATTTTTCTATAAGCACGCTTTCATGGAGATTTGCAAATGACATTTTAGGTCTGCTGTAACATGTGAATGTGTTCATCCTTGCTCTGCTTCCTTCTATTACAAAGGCCTACTTACAGGAGGATATTGACCAGCGGTTTGGACTGTCCTGTTGAAATCACCAGACTTACTCGTTTTTCCTCCTCTTTCTGCAGTTGGGTTTTATGACAGTTGAATTCTGTAGTTTTATTATGTATAATGTTGCTTCTCTGGGAATATGCATTAAGGTGCATTTATAAGTTTTTGGAGACCAAAATTCGTGTCTGAGAGGTCCTTCTCTCAATGTGTTAAGATATTTATCTCTACAAAGAAGACTCCTTTTATATATATAATGTTATTGAATTATTATTATTATTTTTCTTCGCTAAAATTCTGAGGGTGATTACAGATATTCCCAAGGGATGACGTGTGTATATCTGCCATTATTTTTTCAGGTATTTTGAATTCAAATAATTTTTTAATTTTCAGCATGTCTATGAGACGTGTTACGCATCAGAGATATTCACAGATTCATATCAGTGTTCCAGATGTATGATTTTTCAATTAACTACTCTTCTTGAGCCAGCTGGGGATCTCTTCATAGATGCCAAATCTAATAGAGTAGCATGCCATTTGAAATAGCATTTTTCAATGTTTGGTGTATGAGGTTTTGTATTAAAATTACACTCTTCTAATAATGTATGTGTGGGCATGTGTATGTACTGTGAATGACATGCACTAAGGAATTTTCAGGGACAGCAGACAAACAGGAGATGCAGCAAGAATGATTGCCTCAAAAAGTCATTTGTAAGGAAGAATTGCAACGTAAATGTGCTGTATATTCATTTGGTCTTTGTGGCCTGTTCTTGGTGATTACAAAGAATTTAATTGTTCTTTTCAAGGACTTTTACATAGCAACGATGAACTGTAGCAACAAAACAACTTTTCAAGCATTACACTTAAGAAAACCTTGTGGACAGTGGATGTGCTTGAATATTTTGATTGGAACAGGTTCATTTGTTTTATTTTATATTATTATAATTTAGTTTTTAATATAATATTTGGAATAGAGTTGTGGAACATGTGAAGATATGCTAAATATACTCTTGAAAACCACTCCAGGATTTTTAATATGCTTCTCTTCATTGAGGTAATCTGTGTCTTTTTTTGCTCAAAGTGGCTGTAGGAACAGCAGTAAAGTATGTGGCAGATTTTCTGAATGAAGTTGAAATGCTGTAAGTACACAGCGGTGGGCCTGTGCTTTGTGCCCACCTTTCCCTGAGAAAGGAAAAAATAGTGTGTTAAAATAATAAATTTAGCCCTTTGCTTCCAACATTTTCCTTAAAAATTAAATTAAAAAATCTAGATAAATTTTTGCTTGCTAATCCTTAATATTTAGGAAATGTGTCTTAACCTCCAGGTGGAATTTGGGAGTTTTCATATATGGTTACTTCAGAGTTTCTCTTAGTGACTGGAAAGGTAACATAGTTTTGATAAAATTGTCTGTTCACAGAACAGTGAAGATAAGATCTTTAAAAGCACAAAGAGTGAAAATTGATTTTTCTCTAACAAATTCTTTAATCGGTCTATGCTAAAACATTTTTAATTGCATTGATACTTCAGTAGTGAACCATTTTCAATTAAACAAATGCCATCTTTTCTAATGGGAAAATTCACTACATGCTGTACTATATTTGTATAAAGCAGATACTGGGATCAAGATGGAGTTCTTCCCATAGATATACACAAGTTCCTCTTGTCTATACTGAAAGTAATAGGACATAGACAACTAGTTTGTATATAATAATAAAAAAATGTATATGTTGGTATAGGATCAATACAATAAATGTTCTTTTTGACTTAATAGATGCCATGCTTAAAATCCCAGCAATTTTGTTTAGTACTTGTTTATTGGCAGAAAAGCACTGCTTTTACACTTGTCTGTTGCAAATCTTTAAGATTGCCAGTGTCTGTAAGTTTTTCATACAAACTGAATAAGCTGAAATATTTCACAATTACAGAATTTGCCAAATGAATTCACGTATTTATCTGATGATTAGCAGTTTTGTCACAAATTGAATGTACTCTGCTGGGAAGTAGTTTTAAAGAGTCTTGGGGACCTTGCAGGACCTCAAGATATTTTGCAGTTGCAAAAACATAGAAAAATGATTAATTTGTATATTTTTGCTAAGATGAAAAACCAATAATGAGTTTAGTTGAACTTCTCAATGAAAGTCCTTGGTGTTTTTTTTTTTCAATGTATGTCTCCTTTGTTTTCCTTCTTCCTTCATGCACTTACCGTACTATGCAAAGTAACTTTGAAGAATAGCTTCAGGGTTCCTATATTGATTGGAAAAAAATAGTAGTGACTTGCAGATGACTTCAAGGTGGTCCAGAACTACTGGGATTTAACTTTTTCTGTGCTCAGTTAAAAATACAAAAATTATATTTGAAGCTTAAGAAATACACTTCGGGTGTTCAGGAATGCTGGATGGTAACAGGCTCTAAGTTTCAAAAACTGCATGTTCTGCAGCTCTGCCCCGACAGTCTTTGCTACTGATGTTGCAGTAACGATCACGTATGAAAATTGACTATACTGCCTTAAATTTGCTGCTTGAACAATGAATAGACAAGCAGCGTTTCCATTTTTGGGGGGCAGAAATGGTAAATTCTGACAATTCTTGGTGTAAAAACCACTCTAAAAAATACAAGATGTCTTTAAATTAAACAGATTTTTCATGGATTTTGTATATCATTTATTTCCATTAGCATATGTCTGCTTTCCTTATGAAATCAGATTCTGTGCACTGAGACATGCTTTGCCTACACGAAACTGAACAAGCTGCATTGCTCTGGTCCAGAACTGTTGTATTGGGTCAGGAAAAGTAGCGTTGTATTTATGTAATGGCATATTGAGCTGTTCTTATATTTGAAGCTGTTGGCATTCTTACTCAAAGTGTCTGTGTAGTAACAGGTTTTAAAGTGTAATTTATTGAATGTCTTTGTTTTCCAACAGTGTGTGCTGTATTTATGGGTCCTGAAAATTCTCTATCCAAGCACGTTATTTCTTTTGAGAGGCAACCATGAATGCAGACACCTAACAGAGTATTTTACCTTTAAACAAGAATGTAAGTATTGCCTAAGGACATAACATTAGTTTACTTTCCACCTAATGATTTCCAGTCTCTCATTTTGCTTGAGAGATGTTTGTTAGTATAATGAAATTCCTGCAAACTTTCGTAAACCCAGCTAACTTCTGTAAAACTGCTTGCTGTTAAGTGTGGCAGTGGAGTTCAAGTATGTAGAAGGCTTTTGTTTGTAAAGATATGTTATGGAGTAAACTTTAATGCATAAATACTGGAGAGAAGAAAGTTATTTTGGTTTCTTGGCTGTAATCAAGAGTTGTGAAGCTAGCAAGAAAATACTCTGCTGCTGAGAAATTTCCATTCGGGTATTGATTTTAACTATATTACTAAGGTAACTCGTGGTGACATAAGCTGCTCCTACTTTTGAAAGTCCATATTAGTATTGATGCACTAATAAATGGAATGTTTACCCTGATAAAACTGTCTTCAGCAAAGATAGAAGTTATGTGATATAATGTATAGTCACTTCTTAGCATTTCACTGTAAATGAGAAGTCACAAACTTCTCAGTACTTTTTAAGGTGTGTTATATATTTGTATAGCACAAAATGTGTTGATCACTCTGAAGGTAATGCCTCCTATTGATTTCCATGGAAACTACAACAGATACAAAGAGCACAGTAACACTGTTTGATAGAGCAAATTCCAAGGTACAAGACATTGTTTTTCAACACATTCATCTCCATTAGCTGTGCGTTTTTGCCAGCAATGAAGAAGACCTGCATGCTGCACTTGTAAACATCTGCACCAGTGGAGGCGGCCCACTGTAACCACTGCTGAAATGCTCCACCACTGCCTCACTGTGCTCACATCCACTGTTTGCTGTCTCCATAAATGTTCTGCATTGATGGATGTCAATGGGTGTCATTTTTTCCACATGGAGGGATTCAGTTACCTTTGTGTCGAATGCACTTCCATGTTTGACATTGCTTTTTCAGGCTGCGCCTCTGCTGCTATATGTCACATCACAGTGTAGTGTAACAGAATATTGGTAGGAGGTTCACCCTCTGCTGTCCTCATAACATCTGCCTCCATTGTCATGAATCAACATAATAAAATAGAAGGCATTACTTCTGGAGCAGTTCCCATAGTTCTGTGATGTGTATTTATTTATTTTAAATAAAAATAGTTTCTCCACACTTTAAAAAAAAACACCATAATAAATGGAAAACAGTTGTTAGTTCTGGAAGAGAATTTCTTAAAAATGTTCTTGGTATTGTAGTGTTTGGAAATGTTCATTTAAACTCAACAGTATTTGTTTTGAGTATATAATTTGTCAGTTTCACTCTTACATTTATGATCCACTAGACTGCACTCTCTGTGGAACACAAAATTCTTAATTTGTGTTTTCTTTCTTGCAGGTAAAATAAAATACTCTGAAAGAGTCTATGATGCTTGCATGGAAGCTTTTGATTGCCTCCCTCTTGCTGCTCTCTTAAATCAACAGTTTCTTTGTGTTCATGGTGGACTTTCACCAGAAATTAATACACTAGATGACATTAGGAGAGTGAGTATTTTGTGTATTTGAAACTAAGTGGAAGTACAGGTATTTGTGTGATGATAAACAAATTTATGTTTGTGAAGTTGTCACTTTATTTTCTGTTCTTGTCCATTATGGAAGTGTAAATCAAGATCTGAAATTGAGACCAAGGGCTTTTATGTGTGCTCCTGCTTGGCCCAGCTAGTGCATTTTTCATTGTACATCTCAGTACAATGGGACAGCTGGGACTGTTGCAGACCACACAAAAACTCCTCAAAAACTCCTCAAAGTTTCTTTCCTAAGACGTGTAGTACATGTAAGAGCTTCATCTCTAATCTAAATAGAGCTTTTGATTTTTACTAGATAAGAACTGAAATTCTTGTGGCTTTCAGGAATAGAAGTTAATTGCAGTCTTGAAATCATTTGGTAAATCAAATTGCATATTTCAGTTCTTCTTATATTTCTTCAAAAAAATTATTTTTACTCTCTTGAGCATGTGGATTTTTTTTCTGTTTTCAAAAAGCATGAAACTATGTTTACTACAAAGTTGGGTTGCTATTTAAAATGACAGATATGGAAGGTATTTGCTTAACAGCTATAGAATGCTTCCCACTGTGGGAAAAGTGCTGACTGTATTGAAACACTCAGTGGTTAATAGTGTGCAATTTAAAGGGAAGATGGTTGTGATGACATAAGATGTCTTTTTCTAATACATTTGTTTCAGCTTCTGTAGAGTGCTGCTGTCAGGTCAAGATTGTATCTGAGAATTTCAAACACAGTTGCTTTCCTTCTTGCATACTCTTTTTTGACTTATTTTAGTTAATTCAGCTGACATCCTCACTACAGGACATGGCTCTTCTGCCAAGAAAGAGTCCTGATTATTCAGGTTTTGAAATACTGGCAAACAGCCTGGGATGAATGTTGTTTTATTGCTAGGTCTTATTTTCAACGTTTGAGTTATTCAGTAGGAAATTTTTAAAAAAGATAACCAGTTGTTTGAAGATTAGAAGTAATGAATTGAGCAGAATTACTGCCTTCCCTAGGTCATTCCAGGTAGTGTCTCACTGGGGGGGCAACGGAAAGGAGACGAGAGATGGGAGGAAAGAGTGTTCCCTTGCATTGAATCAACTGCTGGAGTGCATTTTGTGTGGTTTTCCAAAATTCCTTGTGTACGTGTAGTCGTGTCTTTTCTGGTATCTGAAATCCTTGGAGGAACTGGTTATACCAAATAAGTTCTACTTCTGAAGGGACCAAAGACATATATTTTTTTCTCTGTTATGAAAAGTTTTTTGGACAGGTGAATCTTACGTAACTTAAGGTGCACGTTCCTTCTCTAAAGGCCTATCTGCTTGGGAATTGTTATCACTTGTATTGTTGAGAGCCTTTGCCAAAATACACCAGTACTTCTTGGTCATGGAAGGCTGTAGTATCTGTCATGGCTCAGCAGTCATTCCTGTACTTTTCCTCTAATCTACAAGAAATAAGAAAATTGTACCTTCTTCATTAAAGATGCAAAAAAGAGAAAACAATAATTTTTTTAATTTATTTTATTTATTTATTTATTTATTTTTGTGGTAGTGATGTTAGTTTTAGAACATTTGTGGATATCCTCCAGTTTTTAGAAATTTAGAGTAATATCCCTAGTACAGTGGCTTTGGTAACTAGTGCATTTATGTAAGAAGATTTTTTTCCCCTCCTGTTGGAATTTCTTTTACAATGTAATAAAGGAAATTCTATTTTTAATATATTTTGCAATTTGTGAAAATACAGAGAAAAACGAGTCTGTTTGATTGCATTTTGGTTACAAAAGCGGATTTTAGAGCTGCGAACCCTTTGAAATGTGTTTCCAGATTACAATACTCAACATTCTGTTACTTGTAATGATTCATCCTGTTGATGGGAATTTATAGTTCTTTTACTTCATTATAGGAATTTTGTACAAGAAATGGAGACTATGATTAAAGAAAAAATGGAGTTGAAACTCTGATATTATTTTCTAGCAGGAAATCTAATTGCTACACTTGATATAGAATTGATTGAGTTTTATGGCAACTGTTAAGATTATGTTTTATATTCATAATGAACTTAGATTAAAATGAAATAATTATAAACAATTTGATGAGCCTCCTAGAAGACTTCACCTACAAATTGAGTTACAGATCTTAAGGAAGAAGTGCTCCCATTAACCAATTGTGGAAGTTAAAAACTGACATTGTTGCAGTATTTTCAGAATACATAGAAATAGTTATAAATCTCTTCTGAAAGGATTCAGAAGCGTATAAGTTTGGAAGAAGGTTTCAGATTGCTGAATAAAAGTGTAAGTTTCCAGTGGTTGGTAGCAGCCTTATTGTAGACTTGAATGGGACATGAAGCACAATTTTTGAAGTTGAAATGACAGGTAAAGATTGGTGCTGCAGTTATTTTCTTAGAAATTGTTTAATTGTAGCTGATTTATTAGTGCAGCTGGGCATCTTGGCTGCTATTACTTCTACTTAGAGCTTACGAATAGCAATGCTGCTGTTAGTGGGGTTGTTATCCCATTGGAATTTTCAAAAGCTGAAAGACAAAACAGAATCTGAGTGTTACAGCAACTTGTAATTTTGAACCAGTGTTCTGGCTTTCCTCTTTCTTCCTTCATTCAGAGGTATAAATGCACCGTTTGTATTTTGCTTGATGTGTTTGGAAATCATTCATGTTCTCCTGTCCTGATTAGTGACAGCTGAAAAGCAGCTCATAGAAGCGTAGAATAAAAATAGTTGCTTCTACGAAAACTTTGGGATTATTACAGGTGAGACAGGAGAAAAAAATAAGTTTGTATACGTGTGGAACAAGGGTATGTTGGAGCTTATTTCAAAAAATATCAAAATATCAGAGGTATGGAAAAACTATGTTCCTAATTTTGCTTTGTACTAATATTTGTAAATATTGATAGCCCCCTTTGTTTTTGTATCGTCTTTTCTTGTATATTGTTTCTTAGAATTGTCTCTGTTGGTTGCACTCCATTTTTACTTCTCCCTCTCCTCAGAATTAGAGGCTGCTGTCCAGTTTATTTCACTTTTAAATCATTTGTTTTTTGTGGGGTTTTTGGTACTGAATTGGACCATTTTGGAGGCTGAGAATGTCGTTGTATTTCACTTTGAATATTGCAGTCAAGGAGAATGATGAGAGAGAAGAATAAAATGGTAGAAATAGATATGAAGCATATATACAAGTTCTGTGGTAGAAATGGGAAATTGTATTGAGATATTTTGCATTTTTCAAGGCAGTCTTAACATGCGGATGTCTGTATGTTAAGAGAAAGAGAGAGAGAAGTGATAAGGAAAGGCTAGTAAACTGTGCTGTTCTGATGAGGCCTTAGCTCTTCCTGCATCACAGATGCAAAGAAAGATTGTCAGAGCTTTCTGGAAAGTAGCATGAAGGAAACTGTGTGCAAAAACAGTCTGTTATAAAGGATTGCAATTTATTTTTCTTTTAGTCTCAGTCTTAGAGCTAATCAGGTTTCAAAGTGTCAAGTGAATTTAATTAAAAAGTAATTCTGTTATGTTGGTCTTTATATTTGCTTTTATAATGCTCAAGGCTACATTAGGATGAGTTATAAGCTCGTGTGTTTATATACACATGTAAAAATCTGCACTGGATATGGCTGCTGATGAAAAGCACCTTTATAAATATAAGACAGTGTTGTTAGAAATGTTGCCTTTTTTGTTTTTTGAATAATCATGTGGTAACTTTATTCAGTCTTCATGGGTTGGCAGCGGCTTCGATAGTTGCATTAGAGCTTGGCATACACTGATATTGTACACGTATTTAAATTAAATAGGTGGTGTAAAATCCTCTTCTTCTATCTAGGAAAATACCATGCACTTGTGATACAAATGTGGTGTGTGAAGCAACTTCTGTAAACATCAAGACAACTGTATACTATTGCGAGCCTTCTGGTTGATTAGCAGAAGTTCTTATAAGGAGACAGTTCTCTTCTGCAAATCGGTCAGCAGCAGCATCCAGCACATGAAGGGAAATCACAGCTTAAAGCAGTTTAGTCATTACTCAGAAATAAAGAAAAATTCTATGTAGATGCAGTTTTTTTCTGGATGAACTTCTGTCTGTGTTACTGACTTTCAGGAAAGTTATTTAACTACATGAACTAAACAATTATTTTTTTGGCATACTCATTTCTGGTAGAGGACAGATGTCGTAGTAGCCGTGACAGTAAAGCCTAACTATCAAGATTGCTGCAAGTGCTACTTATTTCTGGGAAATTGCAAGTTTGTGAAACTTGTAATACTCTAATTTTTGTCCTGTGAAGTTCATTCACCCTGATGTTACAGTTGTTTTGGTAGAGTGTCTCTTTCAGACACGTGACCATCCATTTATAGATGCTGCTTTGTTGATTTATACTGCCAAGCCTTCTGCTGAAACAGTATTTTAGGAATCTTGATTCTATGCCTAGTGATTGATATGGAAATGTTTGCAAAAAATTGAACTGTCTCTTAAAGAAGAGAGACAGAGAGATATACATTTTTTTCCTGATTTACGGTGGATGATCACTCTTCTATTGAGTTCTCAGTGACACGTAGGCTTGATCAGTAAAGAGCCTTGAAATGTATGGGGCGCTCCAAGAAATCTCCTTATAATCCCTTACTTTCTTTCTGTGGTATGCTGAAATTTCCTTTTCTTTAGTAATATCTGACTGCTGCACTTCTCTGACCTTCATGTGGTTTTTAGAATATTACTACACAATAGTTCTCAGAAAATTAGGACAGGTTAATTAAAATTGATGTCTGTGTCTTCAAGTATTTGAAACTTTCGTGAAGGTCTTTTGTTTCAGAGATATAGTAGTTTTAATTTGCTGTACCTTCATCTACCCCCAAGGTTTTGCTATTCCTCAGTTTTCTCATCTGTATGGAGGTGTGGTACACCTCACTGCAGCAGCCCTGACTTCTCAGTACCTGGAAATTAATTAGATTTAAATATCTTGTGGTCCATTAGAAAATACGATACCCATTTCTCTTTTAACACCAGACATAGTGATTCTTATTCTTGAAAAAAATTGTCTCAATTCTCAGTTACTTTAATCTTGCTTAGAAATACATTAACCTAATTTGTATTGGGATTCTGCTTTGTCATGGTCACAGCGTGCTTGGAAATGGTTATTCATTAATGCTTGTTTTGAGTTGACTTGTCCTTTATTAATTTTTATTGCTGTCACTACTTAGAGAAACCTTTAAGCTCATTTTACTGATTTGATATATACAATCTGGGTTGAGTAGAAGTGACATTTTCTTAAATTCTGAAATGTCTTGAGAAATATGCCACTTGGTAGATTGTCTAGTGAAGTACAAACTGATTTGATGTGCATGTAAGTGTATTAATTTTTTTTAAAGCTGACTTCCTTACTTCAAGAAATATCTACATTGTTGTTCCAAATGCTATGAGAAACAAGCTTGGAAGAATGGCATTGCTTGCAGCAGCAAAACCTTTTCATTTATAATGTCTTCTTCTAACCATGTGGCCAAAGTCATAAGAAAAATTCTTGAACACTATCTATCTCAAGAAAAAATTTCTTAGAAATGCTTTCTAGACTTTCAGCCTTCTATGTTGCAGGAAACATCGATCAAGAAACAATGAAACTTCCTTATTTGAATGCTTCTGTTACTTTCTAGACCCAATTTTTTTGCTGGAGGTTTAGAAACTTGATGGTTTAATCTACAGAAATTCAGGTACTTGCAGATGTTGATGGACTGATTTCTTCAATCTCAAAGGAATATACAATGCTGGGTTTATCATCCAGTGTGGGAAACGTTAAACCACTGGATTTTTAATATTGAATAAATTCCAACAACAACTTCAGTTAATACCTGCCTTGCCATTATCTGGCAGGAGTTTGTAAAGATCTGGACCTTTCCACTTATGTTACAGGTGGCAGCCTCGGGAGCTCTGATTTTCCAGGGCATGAGAGAGCTTGGCACTACTGCTGGTTCCATATTTGAATGGATTCCTATGGACCGTTAGACTCAAATTCACCAGGTGCTCACCAAACCTCCCTTCGAACCTGTCATGAAGAGTTAAGTGTTCTCTAGTACCATCAAAGTCATCTTCTTTGGTATGGGAGGTAAAGTGAGATAAATGCACTGTCCATCAAAGAACCGTTCCTACATTTCTTGGATAAAATCATCTTGTGAACAAACTCCAGCTACATAAAGATCAAATAAACTTTACATTGAATCTGGGAAAACTGATTTCATTTCTGGGGCATCAGAGATTCGTTGAATGTTATTACTTAAACAGGGCATTTTCCTTTTATGTTAACAAATGATACTGTCCTTATCACTGGCCCTTTTCACTGTGGTTACCAGCAATGGTATAGGCTGCTAAAACAAGTGTTTCTAAGTGAAAATCTTTTAAGAAGCAGCTAGAAAAAAGAAAAAAAAGCAAACAAAAAAGACCCTCCAGAATGTACATGGCCCATTGCACCAGGGCTGTAGTTGAGAAATAGAGTCTGTATGAGAGAAAACCAGGATGGCTGAGCTAGTCATCTCTTCATTGGTGAATGATCCATTACGGAGATGACTGCTTCAGGGATTTGGTTTGGGGGTTGGATTTTTTTGGATGACGTATTTAGTTTGCTATAGTCAGTGCTAATTATTCATGCTTTTCTTTTATCATTCCTGTTTTCTGTACTGTTTCTCTTCCTGGCTAATTCCTGGTAGTGTCTCCAGATTGGTAGATGCGGCATGTGCATGAAAAAGGACCATCTTGTTCCTTGCCTGTAACTTGACTTTATATTATGCATATCCATCAGTCTGGAATTTATCTCACTTCTTCTTACAACTAATAAACCTTATTGCTCTTAACAGGTTGGGTTCTTTTGGCATGCCTCTGCTTTATTTCATGACAAGGAGAGAACAAATATAAAAAGCTATTTATCTATAATATGGTTGGATTTCATTCTGTAAGTGCTTGGTATTGATGGATATGTAGCCTAAAAAATGTGTAAAACTTACAGATTTAATATTCAGAGTATTTTTGTGCTTTGCTTTTTTCTCAAACAGTTAGATAGATTCAAAGAACCTCCAGCATTTGGACCAATGTGTGACTTACTGTGGTCAGATCCTTCAGAAGATTTTGGAAATGAAAGTTCACCAGAGCACTTCAGTCACAATACAGTCAGAGGATGCTCATACTTTTATAGGTGAGAGCATGCTAGAATCTACTTAATATTTTAATACTAAGTCTTCCCACGTATCTTTAGAGGATTTATTTTACTCACGATTGTTTTCATTTCACAGCTATCCAGCAGTTTGTGAATTTTTGCAAAATAATAATTTGTTGTCAATCATTAGAGCACATGAAGCACAAGATGCAGGGTAAGTATGTCCCTTTGAGAAATAATTCACAATGTGAAATGAAAGATAATTGCTTATTCCTGTAAGATGTAAAATAATCTGTTTGATTTTACAGTTATAGAATGTACAGGAAAAGTCAAACTACAGGGTTTCCATCATTAATAACAATTTTTTCAGCACCTAATTACCTGGATGTCTACAATAATAAAGGTAAGAACTTGTAATTAATAACTATGCAATCATAAAATGAAAATGTGCTGTTATAATGTCTTACTAAAGAAGCAATCTAATATCAAAAATTTTCTGCCAGTTAGTAAAAGACCAGAAAATCCTGAATAAAAGTTGTGTGATGAAGAAGAATGTGTGACATACTCATCAGTGGCCTGGATGAACGGATAGAGTGCACCCTCAGCAAGTTTGCTGATGATGCAGAGCTGCAAGAAGTGACTGACACACCAGAAGGCTGTACTGCCTTCACTGAGACCATTGAGAGTTGGGTGGAGAGGAACCTAATGTGGTTCAACAAGGGCAAGTGTAGGGTACTGCATCTGGGGAGGAATAACCGCCTGGATCAGTATACGTATGCTGGAAAGGAGCTCTGCAGAGAAGAAGCTATGTGTTCTGGTGGGCAGCAGATTAAAGCCACCTTTTGGTGTGCCCTTGCGGCCAAGAAGGCCAGTGTTATTGTGGAGCAGTTAAAATGAGTGCAGACAGCAGGTCAAGGAATGTTCTCCCTCTCTAGTCTGCCCTGATGAGTACACACCTAGAGTACTGCCCAAACTGTTTGAGTCCTCTTAGCTGGAGATACTAAAAATTTGCCTGGGTGCTTTCCAGCACAAATAGCATTAATTTGAATCCAGCACCTCTTGCCTATTCAGTACATTGAATTTTCTCCTTTCTGCTTCTGAAACCCTTATCTACCCAACACAAACCACTTATGTAGGATGATTAACTGTCTAGAGAGTAAGATGAGCTGCTTTTATTTGTATCAAAGGTAAAGGAGTAAAGAAAAGGAGAAGTAGCAGTGCTGGCTTTCTGGTTTTCTGCCATCTCTGTAGATATTTTTAAGAATCCTTTTTCCCATCACCTATTCCCAGTGTAATGCAAACTTAAGTAGGGAAATGTACAACCAAGACTTATTTAGCCTTAGAATGCTTCTGGTTGTTTGTTTGTTTGTTTGTTTGTGCTGTGTTTCTCTGTGTTTCCTCTTCTCTTTGATTTTCTGAATTTCAGTGGTTATATTACACTCTACAACAGGGACTCAGAATGCAGGCTTGTAATATGGGAAGACACACAGCAAGTGTAGAACCTGAATCTGGATATGCTGCTATTCTGAGTTCACATTTTGTTAAAGTTGCTGAAATCATACCTTTCCAGGAACTTTTGAAATTATTGCTCATTATGGACTTTTAATAGGATAGTAGAGGCACAGTCTGACATGTAAGGGTACATTAAACTGTGATGCTTGGAATAAAATACAGTCTAAAGTTCTCTATTAGATATCTATCATTTAAATATTGCAAAAGAAAGCATAGTTATCTCTAGGATTACTTTGTAATACAATATAGAAGTAAAACAAACCTGTGACTTTACATTTGTAGTACTTCATAAGTTTTAAACATTCTTTCCAAAATGTCTGAATTTTATTTTAGCTGCTGTTTTAAAATATGAAAACAATGTGATGAATATTCGTCAATTCAATTGTTCTCCTCATCCTTACTGGCTACCAAATTTTATGGATGTTTTTACATGGTCCTTGCCATTTGTTGGAGAAAAAGGTAGGCAAGAATCACACACCAATGAATTTCTTTCCAATTTCTCTGTTGTCAGGAAGGTTTTTTGTTTGGTTGGGTTGTTTGGTTTTTTTTAATTAATTCGTTATTTTTGTGAAAATTTGTATCTGCATTTGTCTTTATTAGATGGAATACTTGGATGTTTGATTAGAGAGATTTGGTGAAGTTTTTAGACTGATTTCGGGGGTTTTGTTTGGCATGTGAAGATATGTTGTGTACAACTTGCTGCACAGTTCTGGTTGTTTTCTTCACCTGTTTCAATGCAAGTAGTTAAACTGGATCTAATAAAGCAAAGGTCTTAATAGAAACTATAATTTCCACTAAGGAGATATTTACCTGCGTTGTTAAGAATTACTTCTGGGCATCAAATAAAGTTGACATGAAAACTGTTCTTATTCTACAAAAGGCTAGGTCATATATAATTAATAAACTTGTATGGCTATAGATGTAAACTATGTTGAGATGTTCCTGTAAAATTTTAACTTTATTAGGTAGTTATAACAGATTGACCTTCATTAAAATAACTTATTTCTGCTATATTTTTTCTTGAAAAGATAATTTAGCACAGGTCCTTTTTTTCCCCTCTAGAGTTAATAACTTTAAATCTAGGATAATAGAACTCCAAGTAGTCTCCAGTTAGTAAGCAATGAGGTTAGAGGCTATTGGGGTCTATTTAAAATGCTTCTGTGATAGGAACTGCTCTTTTCATGAAGGAGATCTGGAAAGCTCTCTACCTTTCCTGGAAAAATACTCTAGATATTTATGTATTTATGGTCATACAGACCTAGGATTCTAGATTTGATTATGTTGTCTTTAGGAAGTCCATTCAGCACTTCTTTGTTGTTTTTAAACCAAGGACATTTAGAAGGAGACTTTTGTTTCTCCTTGTCTTACCTGATGATGCATTAAATAACCCTTTGCTATTAAAAATGTTCATGTTGTTTATTTTACTTCTCTACAATGCTGATAATGAGTCTGTTATGCCTAAGACTGCTGAAGTAATGTACCTTGTAATTTGTCTCGGGCCTTTGGGTATGCACATACTTCAACTTCCAGTGAAGGACATGTTGTCAATATTGTTTGGTCTACACAGTTAAAGTCAGAATTATTCATTTTACTTCTTCAGCAAAGTAGAGAGTAACTCTTGACCAAGAACAGAGAATAGCATAGCGGATAACACAAGGGTTATATGAATTAGTCATGAACAGATGTAGGCAGGAAACTACAAAGTTTTTAAACATCTGATTGAACTTCTGGAATGGGTTTCTAAGTGCTTCCGAAGGTGGGAGAACCTTGACCATTTTAAAGAAAAGCCTGACATATATGTGAAAGGCTTTATGGTAGAATAATGAGGTTCCCAGAAACAGCAAAATTGAGACAAGTTTGAGTATCCACTGTGTCTTTTCAAACTCCCCTTAAACACTGACAAGCAGTTTACATCGTATTTTTATCATAATATTTGTCTGCTTCGGTGCTTCTGGTTGGTGCCTGCAGGTGCCAGGAATGGAATGGCTTTCACTTTTTTATGTGAATTTGAGCAGTCTCAATATTTTCACATATCAGTAAATTTTGCATAAAATTGAATTGAAATGGACTTGCCATGATGTAAAAAATACTAATGTACAAGAAGATAATTCGTATCTAAAGTAATTCCTTGTGAGATAGGAAAGAAAGCCATGCCATGTCTTTGATAGGTGGTGTGGTTTTTGACTGCTTATTTCTATGAGCTTTTTAAATTCTATGACAGCATATGTTTTAGAGACCAGATTGCAGAGAAGAGTTTATCATGTGGGAAGCTCATTCACTACAGTTGCTGGTGACTGGTTTCATCTTATGTGCTTGGAAATATTTAAAATTCTTGAGGCAATTAATTAAAGTTTGTTTTTTTCACGTACAGTAACAGAAATGTTGGTGAATGTTTTGAGCATTTGTTCTGATGATGAACTGATGACAGAGGGAGAAGATCAATTTGACGGTAGGGTTTAATATTAGATATGTTTTTTTTTTTCATGGAAATAACTTCTGAAGTACTAATTAAGTTAAAGTGATGTAATATATTACCTGAAATTAGAAGGAAATTGCCTACAAATTTTTCCTTAGATGATGAGTATTTTGGAGGAGGAAAGGGAATTTTATTTTCGTGTCTGTCATCAAGAAGGAGTAGTTGTATCCTTTGCAAGAATTCGTATATGACATATTTAAAGCTGAAATGTTTTGAGAATTTTTCAGAATTTGTTGGTGTTTTATATTTATTATGAATTTTTTAAGCTCTTTAATTTCTTAATGTCTGCTCTTTGGGGAAGAGTTGATGCAGTCAAAAGTCAGATCTAATATTTCTTATGGCAAAGTACTATAGACAAAGTATGAAATAAAGGTTTAAATCTTGGTGTTAGAGTTAAAGCATAAAAGTTAATGAACTTTGTGTACATTGTGTAACACTGACGTATGTAATAAATAACATCTTGTGAACTGTTATAACAGTGGGTTGTTAAGGAGGTGTTTGTAATGTGATGATAAAGAAGCAACATTAGACTGGTGGTGAAGAGGCACGTAACATCAAGACTTAGCACATCGTCCTTTTCTTTTCCTACAGTACTGCTCTATGTCACATCTGAAAGTTTTTCAGACATCCCTCATTTTATCCAATAACAGAATTATTTGCTGAATTGACTGATGGCTGGGGGGAAGGAATGAACATTTTGACAGCCTTTGAGTAACACTAAAAATAAATTAAAAGAGATGTTAGTGACATCATCCAATTCTTAATCTTTGACAATTACTGTGTAAAAATTCAGTAGCAGATTTGTGTTGTGCTTAGGCAGCTGTGTGTTTTAGGTTGAAATGCAATAATTATGAGCCACTTGAACTTTGTTGCCATTTAGGCTGTAGACAGAAACATGGAAAATTAGGAATAGTCTCAGATGTGATCCTGCAGACAGTGAATTTATGTTTCTTGTGCACGTAATCCTACTGAACTGAAGATAAAGCAATTACACCAAACATCTGCAGGCTGAGGCTTGATGGTGTTCTGCTACGCTAGGATTTAGGTGGTCCAGCCAAAGCGCGCTCATCACCTGGTTGCATATGCCCTATCTTCAGTACAGTAGTTCCAGTTTCCTTATTTGATTTATTTTATTCTTCTGTCTCCTTTAACAATTTCTTTGCTTGATGCATATCTCTTAATGCCTCCTAGGTACTGTCTGTGCTTTATCTTTCTCTGTGAATAATTTTTTTTAACTGTTGACTTTCAAGTTTCAATTGTTTATCATCAAATTTTAACTTATACTCAACAATTCCACTTCTTATTCAAATAACGCATTTTTAAGTGTTGCATTTTTCCATTTTCTTTTTTCATATTTCTTCTCCATTCCTTCTTTATTACCATTACCAGGTTAAATACCTTTGTTTGATTTGTCTCACTCATCTTTTTCTCCATCATTCACTTCCTTTTTTTCTGGACTCTCCATCTGAAGAGCGACTCATGTATGGCAATAAAAAAGGTACAGATCAGACAGTAGGAATGTTTTGAAATATGACTTCGTAGAACCTGCTGGTACAAGTATTAATGCAGAAAATATATTTTTGTTGAGAGACGTACAGTATTTTATTTTATTACCCATTTTAAAGAGACATTTATAAAGGTTTATGTATTTTGTTAATCAGAAGTCATATTCCAAGACATCTGTCTTTCTGTGCATGAATCTTTCCTCCTTTCTTCCATTCCCTTTTTTTTTGGTTGTTTTTTTTCCCTTTTTGTAGAATTTCATTCTTTTACCTATTTCTAAAATTATATCTTTGGCCCTGCATGTGTAGGGAGCATTCAGTCCTCTGTTGTGCTTTTTTAAAAATTTAATTGTGAGCATTTTCTGAGATTGTGCATGGAATGTGTTTATAGTGCTCCAAAACCTGGCGTGTACACTACTTTAGCTTCCTTCATTTGAGATATCAAAAGGGTACTTCTGATTGTCTATGCAGTTTTGAAGATGACTTGATGCAAAATGTAAGAAGTCATCTACTCATTTAAATTCTGAGTCTGTCACCCACTTTTCAGAAATCCCAAGGTGGATATTTCTGTGCAGGAAAATTCTTCTGGCTGTTACTTACCTTCTAGTCTGTTTGCTCTCTGTATACATCTGCCACTTTAAAGAATATTTCTCATTTGGTGCATTGGATCATAGGGTTAGTTGCAACATTTATGTGAATTCTTTGGAGCGTAACAGTATGAGCATTATAGAACTCCCATGGAGGGGGCATTAGGAATGGGCAGTGGGAGAGTTCTATCATATCCCCTCTAGTTTAGGGTGTAATCAAAACACTCTCCTGTAAGCAGATGCTACTTTGCTGTTTTAACTCTGAACAAACAAGGGTTTAATAGTGCCGCTGCCTGGAGTAATATATTTGGCCTTTTTTCTTGGCTGTGCTCCCTCTGAAAGGCTGGAACAGCATAGGATCATTTAAAAACAATACTCTAAACCAGCATTTCTCCTTTAATGGCGTAGTGATACCAGATTTGAGATATGGGCACCAGCAGCGCCTGTAATGGGCTCAGCTTGTGCATTACAGCCCTGCAGCAGTGGCCTTCAAGGAGTGAACAGGTGAAGGCAGGAGGAAAACTGAGAGAAATGATGGAAAGAGAAAACATGGAAAATGTGTGGACCTTCATTTAGCTCCACCTTTTTCAGAAACTCTGAAAGACCTCTCTTCTCAATCCGGATCTCATACTGCTCTTTAATAATATTCAGAGAGAGAAAGTAAAACATCTCAAATATTAAAAATTCAGATAAGTTACTTCCAGTAAAAATAAAAATTTTCGGCCTATTCCTGCATTTTTTTTCCTTGGGCCACCACTTTTTTTGGTGTCTGTATTTCATCAGTGTTGTTCCTTTGTCTAAAAATGCTTTACTTAGTTGTTTGTGGGTTTCTTCATTCCGTTTCAGTGAGTTGACATATAGTTGTCATACCCCAGGGTTCTTTCATTGTGTTTGCACAGAGCTCTCTTCCTGCCTTTTTTTCTCTTGTATTTTCTTTGGTTTGGTGTTCAGGATGGGAAATCCATCCACTCTTGTGTGACAAAAAGCCTTGTGTTCTTGCAGTGGCGGTCTGAAAAATCTGACAGTTGTGCTGTTTTGGTGTCCCCACATCTGCCTGTACTGCTTAGGGGACCTGGGTTGTCCTCAGGAGGAAAGGAGGATGACTCTGGCATTTTCTCATTGAACAAAAATAAATGTTGAAGAGAGGCACCTCTGTTTTTATATCAGTGCAGGCAAAGGCAGCTCTCATTTGAATCCAAAGCCTCTTTCAGAGTTTTATCTTCACTTTTATCTATTACAAATGACATTTCTCTGCTCTGTGGAACATGCAGTATTTATTCCATGCCCTTGGTATTAGCAATTTCTGCAAATGATGCAAACCTAAGGTGACATAGAACATAGAATTAATCAGTAAGGAAGGTCACACTGCAGTTCTTTGGCATTTTAGTTAAGTTTTTTGTGAGTGCAGGTGTATGTTTTGGGGAGTTGACATAAAATCAAGCAAATCAGCATGTTTTCTCTCAGTCAGCTGTGCAAGCATTAGCAATTATGTATTTTTTTCTTTATCTTCTGTGTCAAGTTACATACCTGTATTTTGATACACAGATGTCAGAAAGTGATTTCTAGCCTTTCGATGTCTAAAGGGGAGCTACAGGAAAGAAGGGGACAGACTCTTTGACAGGGTGTATGGTTATAGAACAAGGGGAAAGAGCTTCAAGCTTCAGGAGGGCAGGTTTAGGTTGGAAGTAAAGTCTTTCACAGTGAGGGTGGTGAGGCACTGGAACAGGTTGCCCAGAGATGTGGTTGATGCCCCATCCCTGGGGCCTTTAAGGCAAGGCTTTAAGGCAAGCCCTGGGCATCCTGATCAAGCTGTGCGTGTCCCTGTTTGTTGCAGGGGAGCTGGACTACATGACCTCTAAAGGTCCCTTCCAACTTATGAGGATTCCAGGGTTCTATAAAACTTAAGGAAAGGAATTACGGTAGTTACTACACTGTAACGGTGGTTTTACTTTGGATGCTTGCCAGCTTGATCAAATCTTTGTGAACATCCTGAACTTTTGTTTTGTGGACACAGAAGTTGTTATGGTTTTGGTAGTATTCTGAATTTGTATTTGTAATATTGTGTCCCCGAGTGCTGGGTACTGACCTCCTGGGAAGAGTACTGAACTTCAATACTTGTGTTGAATTTGATACACTCAAAAAGGGCAGCTTTGTAAATACCAATGAGCTTGAGACTCTCTCTTATTCCATTGAAAGTAGGTACAGCTGCTGCACGGAAAGAAATAATCAGGAACAAAATTCGTGCAATTGGCAAGATGGCAAGAGTCTTCTCTGTTCTCAGGTATTTGAGTTGTTTCTGCTTTCTTAAAATCCTTCTTAATCTGTGTATGCTAGGAAAACACATCTCTGTTCCAGGATAATAGATACCACACGTTTTTTCAGGGAGGTCATCACGCCTTAGAATCTCATTTTGCATGTTGATGTACCCCACTGATGTTGGTGCTTTTGGTTAAATAATATTTTTTTGTTGTTATTTTTTGAGATGTGTCCAGCCATTTGGTTTAGTGGGTAATATTGGTAGTAGGTGGGTGGTTGGACATGATAATCTGAGAGATCTTTTCCAACTGTAATGATTCTATAGATTAACTGCAACAGTGAGCAGGACAATACAAAAATAGAGATACTGAAATGAGAAGCGTGAAAGTGAAGGTCCGGGCTGGCTAGGAAAGTGTCTGTCATAGCAGAAAGTTGAGGACTTGTTTTGTTTGTTTTTCTTTTGTTGTTTTGAACTGTCCTGTTTGTTTGATCCCATTTTCTTGTACCAAGCTAGACAGAAATTGTATTTACTTAAAATATAGTATGCTTATAGTATGTCAGTATGTTATAGTACTTGCATAGCGTATTTATGTCTTTCCACAGAGCATAAATATTCAAACAGGCTTAATTTTTTGAAATTGGTCTCTCCTGGAGCACAGATGCTTTCAGTGAAACTGTGGGTTGTTCTATGGTGCTGAGTTGCATTCAGTACCTCATGAGGCATTCACTGCTATGTTCAGAGCTAATAAGTCTGCATGTGAATAGTTGCTCCTATGTTGGTTCAAAAGTAATCAGTATTTGTAGTTTCTAGATACCAGAGAGAGACGAATATGACATAGAAATATTTTCCCCTTTCTAGTTGATTGAATTTGAATTTGCATCAGTCTTGACATGCATAAAGCACAGTAAAAGTAGGCCTTCCTCCCCAATAGAGAATACCAGTTTTCATGAGCAGATACTTACATTTTCATTACTATTTTCTCTTAAACCAGGGAGGAGAGTGAAAGTGTGCTGACACTCAAGGGTTTGACTCCCACTGGAATGTTACCTAGTGGAGTGTTGGCTGGAGGACGACAGACCCTGCAAAGTGGTAATGATGTTATGCAACTTGCTGTGCCTCAGATGGACTGGGGCACATCTCACTCTTTCGCTAACACTACACATAATGCATGCAGGGAATTTCTTATGCTTTTCAGTTCTTGTCTTAGCGGCTGATACAGGCGGAATGTTATGTGTTAATCAGGCAATGTGAAATGGATACTTAACCAGGGTATAAAACTAAAAGCAAACGAGTTTAGCAGTGTCAGGCCACAGTTTTCAGGCTTTGAGCATCCTCAGTTTACAATTCTTCAGATGGTGCGGATGGGGTGCCCTACTAGATCTGGTGTTAAGATACTTGGTCGTAACAGATACAAAAATTGCAATGTAATTTTGCATCCTTGTCTGCTTTCCATGAAAATGACTTTACTATGTATCTGTTAGTATTTTCATTGACAGTGTCAAATTCTCACTGGTATCAATCCTAACAAACGACTACAGGCTGCAGAGTTCCATTTTACACTCCATTGATAGATTGAAATGTGCTTCGTTTTGTACCCTGGTAATTAATGCCAAAGTTTGTTCTCTATGTTGTTTGTCAAATGTTCTATGTATAATTGACCTCCCTGAATTGTCCTTGTAACATGCTGTTTCCTTCCTCTGCAGATGTAGCTGCTTTCTTAGATCTGTCTGTCTCTCTCTAGGTATAGATGTATGTCTGTATAAGTGTTAAAATTAAACCACTATCCCAGACACTTGTCTGTCTCTTGATGTAGAAGCAATGTTGTAGCACCTTGTTTTTGAGGTTTGCTGCATTTGCTGCTGCACACTGTCTGTGCATTTTGAACAATAATGTACTTGAAAATTATTCAGTAATTGTTATAAAATCAGTTGAGAATAAAGGGATTGAATTTAAAACTTGTAAATAAATCAAAATAAAAGGGTGTTACTAAGTGTGCATATATTTTTTGCATGAAAATAAAAAGAACTCTATACAAAATACACCTGTAATCTGGCTCATTGAATATTTTGTAAAAGTTTTTCTTTTTTTTTTTTTTTTTTAGTTTGTTGAATTATTGGATCATATTTTTCACAAGACCCGTAAATGATTAACCAGGCTTAGAGACAATGCTGTGAGATTGTACCAAATGTATTACAAGAATGAAGTCCAGGTTTGCAGTGATGGATAACTAAAATAGATCCATCTGAAAGTGGACTTCATATCAGCAGCACTCAACATAAGATATTCAGACTTTTTATTTGCTATCCTCAAGATTTAATAGAAAGTATAAAACGGTTGTGTTTGACCACTGAATTTTATACCTATTGAAAGATTGTGATATATTGATTAACTGAATTACATTTTTACACAATCTGTTTTGCAAGAGTAGCTGCTTTTCTTGTTTTGTGATTTAGGCTGCTCATTTGAATATTTTTAAATTTTCTATTAGAATTTTTTGTTGCTGTTTTTTTTTAAACCCTTTCACTACATTTACTATTAAACAATCAAAGCTGTTCTTCTATAGCTTTGAAACATGAATGTCTCATTTTAAGTCATTTCTCAGTGGACATATAATGTCTACAAGTAAATTTATATGTCCAGTGTATGTATGTGATTGTTTTGTGAATGTCTATAACAAGAAGTGGTGTACGTTTCCTAATCCATCCAACTATTCCAAAAGCATATGTTCTAGTTTTAATTTTCATTGTTTAATAAGATACTTTATTATGCTTAAAAAAATGAGTTTGTATTCCTCTCACTCATTTAACAGTTTTTTAACCATGTTACATTGCAAATATTAGAGAGGATCAAACTGACTAGAAAATTTTTTTAACATAAAGCATACGGCTTTCTAGCATTACTGAAAATGTGGGATGTTTGGAAAGTATGCAAAATGCATTTTGGATTTTTGTGGGTGGTTTTTTTTTTCTTGACTAGAATTTTCTGATGGCAATATTCCTTGATGCATTACATTAATATACATCACTTGTTCAATCATGCTGATGTGCTAAAGATCTCCTGCTGACTGTCAGTTCTCCTTAATTCCACTAACTTTGTTTTTACAGATAAGGATTTAACTCAGTTCTCAAAAAGAACTTTTTGGATTCGTTACACTTAGTTGCAGAACTGAAAGTAAATCAAAAATAAAATAAAGCTTCACTAATTGATGCTTTACTGTAACCATCACATCAGTGAATTCATATTCGCAGCAGAAATATGGTCACTGATACTAAGATTTCCTACTACAAATTTTTACTTACTTTTTGAAATATATTGCACGTGTGTTGATCAGTAGGCTATCAATAACTATCTCAAATCTCTAGATTTGAGAAAACAAATAGTATCCATTGCTGTACTATTTTTGCTTACCCCATTTTACTCACGATAAAATTTGCTCAGATCTAAGCAGGCTGTTTACCAATACATTTATAAAAAGCTGTGGAAGTTATCAGGATTGGGAGTGTGTGTTTACCTTCCTCTCAAATCTTAGCAGCTACTGCTGCTGTTTGGAAGCATCCGTTCAGCCAGGCCTCCTGTGCTTCGTAAGGAACAGGCCATAGACGTGGAGGTTGGAGGCATTGACGTGGTGCTGCGTGGGGCACCAGAAGTAGTAGTCCATTGAACTGAGCTGCTCTGTGGGAAATGGTTGAACAGATTCTTACCACAAAACAGATGAATCTGAGGGTAAACGAGAAATTTGAACTACAGTAAAAAGGGTTAAACAAAGACAAATCCATTTTTAAAAGGTAATTTTGAAAAATTAATGCAAAATTGGCAACCTTGCTCGCAGCGGGGGGGTTGAAACTGGATGATCATTATAGTCCTTTTCAACCCATGCCCGTCTATGAACTACATTCTATTGAAATAGTCTGGTTTTTTTTTTTTCCCCCTAAATGTACAGATATATATTTTTAAAAAGAATCAAAGGTTATTTCCAGTTAGCTTTAATGTTCTAGGATAAAAATAGACCTTGAGAAATGACAGCCTTTGTATATCTCTAAATTCTTTTCATATGTTGGCAAGGATTTTGGTCAGATCTGTCCCTTAAGTAAAGCAGGGGCAAGGTTGGAATTGAGGATGGAAATGCCATTGGGTTCCTTCAACGTTGTCACTTAAAATTTACTGTGAAAGTGAATTTTCTGAACAAAGAGTTCTAGTTTAACTAATGTGTTAGTGTAATACAACTAGTGTAATACAACATTTATCCTAGGTTAATCAGGACTTATGAAGGTTATAGTTTTAATCTAGAGGTACCTGCAAAAAAGAATCCAACAAAATTACTTTCCAAATTGAAAATTGTGTTTTTTCAAATGCTTGCATTTTCCAGTCAGTTTGTTCTTTTGTGTCAAGGTGAAAGTTACCTTTTTCTTAAGTGCATTGTATATTCCAAGATACTTTTGGAACTAAAGTAGTACTAGTAGAATGACTTAGGTGTAAATATTCAAATCTGTATTTATGATCAAGCTACATAATTTACAGAGATAAATCAGTATCCGTGATCTTTTCAGGAAAAGATTGAAAACAAAGACTTCACAGGTAACAGGAAATGGTGGAAAGAGGTGTTTCTTATCACATAGTTTTGTACCTATATGGCAAATTGGTTATATCTTGTATTCAGTGATATTCCAAAGCAATTCTTAAACTAATTTGTTTTTACAAATTGAGAAAGTTTATTTTCCCTAATGTAAACATAAATTGCCATCCATTCCAGTGGATTTTTGGTATAACTCCAGGATTGCCCTTGCTCCTTTAGAGTTGTGTAGGGTTGTTATTATTATTATTATTATTACTACTACTATTACTATTATTATTATTGTAACTGGGAATGTGCAGTATGTAGAAGTTAAAATGCTGCATTATTCTCATCTATTCCACAGTATTTTAATAGGAATTCAAGCAACTATTTTTTTTAAAGAGTATCTCTGGAAATGAAGGTTTTATGTAACGTTAAGGCAGAGTGTAGGCAACTGATACATCTGCTGTGTCTGGTTTGTGTTGGCCAGGAAATGAGAAGTACTAAACTTAATTCACTTGGACAAATTCTGTTCTAACACCATCTTTTCCTAAATTGATAGTTTTCCTAGCATTCACTTCAATATAGGTAAACCTACTTGCGTAGTGCTTCATATCCATTGTTGTTCATCAGTATCTAGCACTACGCAAGTCGGTTTACTGCTAGGTACTGTTTTCAATTAGAATCATAGAATCATAGAATCACCAAGGTTGGAAAAGACCTAAAAGATCATCCAGTCCAACCGTTCACCTATTCCCAATAGCTCCTACTAAACCATGTCCCTCAATACAACATCCAGTCTTTCCTTGAACACCCCCAGGGTGTTAGAATTTATTAGAATAGGTGACTAGAGGCATGGCAGATAGAAGAGGAGGCAGTAAGCTGTTAGCAACGTTGAAACTCAGCTACAGATTAGATCTTAATTACAAGTATTTTGCTTGACTGGTCTGCTCAAGTAGGTTAGTTTGAATTTGAAATCCTCATAACCTTGCGTTATAGATTTGACTTTTAGATCTAAAGCAATAAGCAACAGAAAAATCTCAAACCTCAGAAATTACCACGTTAGTCATGGTTACTTATTACAGTAGAACCAGTAAGCTAGATTTTTCTTCATGTTACGTGAAGTTATCCACCAAGACTGTTACAAGCAGAGCTCTTCATGCTCTAGGCTTTGTTGTTGGTTCAACCAAGCAATTTATGAGACTTTGTAAATATGACTTGCTAGATTTGTCTTTTGTAGTTTAAATTTCACGTTTTGGTTCCCAGGGATGCTCATTTAAGCGTAAAATATGGTGAGAAATTGACGTACAAGTTTAACTTCAGGGAGTTAACCGTAAAAAGAAAAGTATTTTCTTATTAGCAGAACACTGATAGTATTACATTAGAACATCCTGCTTGGTAACTTAATGAAGCTCACTAATACATTTTAATCTTCAGAAAGTTAATCTCAAATAGATTTTCTTTTTAACCATACCACAACTTTAACATTAATTGACATCTTATGTTGCTTTCTTTAAAGAAAAAGAAATAATCTCATAGAAATGTACAGTTTAAAACATAAATGAAGTTCCAGTAATCAGTGTTTCTCTTGGTATACTTTGACTTGATAAATTGTAATAGTTAAAATGTAGGAGAAGTTTCACTTAAGCTTAAAAACAACCCCCAGAACCTTAATTATAATTTTAAATAATTTTAATCTAATCTGGCGTAGCGTTCTATATTAAATTGATCATTGCCTTTTCTGCTGTGCGATATTACACTCTTCATCTTTCTCATTCATTTTGCATGCATCTGCTCACTTCTGTACAGCCACTGTAGAGGCAATTGAGGCTGAAAAAGGTATGATCAGAGTCTTTGCCATTGGCAGAGATCTGTGGTGTCTGGGAGGGAATTCAAAAGTACTGTGTGGGTGTGTTTTACTTTCAACTTGCACAAGCAGAGATGAATCAACTGTATTGATTCATCCCTTTTACATGTAACATTCATTTCTGGCTCCAGGATGATGATTATCTTTAATATTTTAGGGATGTTCTTGGGGTTTTTTTGGTCTTTTTTGTTTATTTTTACAAAATATGCAGTAGGTTTTTGTATAACAGCATGTTGTGATACGTGGTGTTGTCTTGAAGTCCTTATGATGATAGTGTTTAGTGGTTTTTTTTCTGCATTCAACTGCAAGATTTTGTTTGGGGGGGCTGGTTACGTGTGGAAGGAGGGTTATTTATGCATGCTTTTCTCATAAAATCTATTTTTAATGGCTTTGAACATATATATATTTTTTAAATTTCCGTAACACATCTGATAATGCAAGACATACAAATGTAATGTGGTTTTTTTCCAATGGATTTTATACATAATTTGATGACCAAATTTATTTCTTGTATATATGCCATCCTGCCAGTACAAGGCATATTAAACTCCATGGATTATTGGTGCTTCTGTGCTAAATAAGCTGTTATCTGTGCACCCTTTTTAGCTGTGTTGAGTAAAATGCCATCCAGTTATTTGGTATTCAAGTACTCAACTTCAGACTGTTGAAGTTTTATTCAAAGATGCTTTAGTTTCCTCTTGCTCAATATTCATTGAAGTGAATGACAAACAGCATAGCAATTGGGAGAGCTGCCTTTGTGGCCTTTGTGTGCTTTCAGATTTGGTTGTGAAGCACTAATTAATAACTTTATCATTTGTTTTTTAATTAAGGAAGTCAGATCTCCAAAACTATAAACAAGGGCCGTATTCTGTTCTCTCACACACATGTAAGATGTTCCGTTGTTGTGAGTGAAAGCTGTGCTCATGTCTCCAAAGAATGATTCCATCCCAAAGAACTCAGTCTTACCATGTGGTTAACTGTTTTCAGGTCTGAAGTAAACTACAGACCTCGTTCACTAAAATAATCAGTAGAAAAATAATACTTGTTTTCTATATGCATCTTAAATACGTATGTATTTAGATGGCACCATTGTTAAACACAGTGCTAACCCAGTGACTGTGGTTGTGTCCATTTCCATCATCCGTGTGATTAGCACAGAATGTGACCCATATCCTGCAGTTTTGCCTGCATGAAAACCGCAGGATCAGGCCATCAATGTGTATGCAGGACGTAAACCTCTGATTACTTTTGTGACCCTTTGCTTCTTTGCCTCCGCTGCACTCGCTGTGCTGCTTGCATCTCACTGGCATTCCCCTGAGACATAGGGATGTCAAGCTGAGCTTGGCAGCGGGAGCAAAGGGTGTTCAGAGCCGGCCACCCCAGAGACATGCAGAAGCAATCAAGTGGGCTTAAGCACCTTGATTCCTCCTTGCTGAATATTTGCCATACTCTGTGCCTTTTGTTATAAACTCAGGTCACGAGAGCCATTGAGTGTATCAGGAGAGCAACTTAGAGCAGCTTTTACTAGTACAGATACAGAGCCATACATTTACGTGGCTGATTTCCTACCTGTGTTTAAGCATCATTTATTAGAAAAAGTATATGCTTTCGACTTCTTTTTCCATTACTGACATATCAAATTTGCATTTTGTTAAGCAATACGAGGATTCTCTCCGCAACATAAAATCTGCAGTTTTGAAGAAGCAAAAGGTTTGGATAGGATCAATGAGAGAATGCCACCAAGAAAAGATGCTCTTCAGCAAGATGGTATTAATACTATAAACACAACAAATGCCAATGGAAACAATGGAACTGGCAACAACAATGCACAGTGACCACGTCAACTTCTGGTTTACTCACTTATGTCTTGCCTGAGAATTCCTAGATTACTGCTTTTTGATGTGACAACAGACGAAGTAGCCAGGGGGGTCAGCGAGGTGACTACTTACCAGGAGGTGGAGCACCATCTGCCTGACCCTGCTGAAGAACAGCATCGTGCTTTGAGACAACAGCCCCTCTCTTCACGTGGTGACCGATCTCCTGGGAGCATCCTTTGTGTATTCAGGCTGCTGCGTCTGCAGAAGAGCTGGGAGGAAGGCAGCGGGCTGTTATCACTAAAGCACCCCTAGACTAGCGTCTTATGCTTGTTGTTGTCAACACTTTACGTTTACAAATGGGATTTTTCTTTCAGTAGAGGTAGCTTGTTTGTTTGTTTGTTTGTTTTTTAAATCAGACTTTCAGATACGACCCTAAGAGCTAACTATTTATTAATGGACATCGGTTTCATGAATTGTCTTTAAAACAATAGATTAGAATGGTCTTAAAATTTCTGAGGCTGCAAAAAAAAAAACTGTATTTTAAATAGAAAAAAATGCCAAAAAAAATCTCAGTTGGTCATTCTGTAAAAAGCTGACCTCAGGTTTACTCCTTAGATGTTGCTGATTCTATATTGTATTCACTGTATTTTTTAGTTACAGCTTATTGGAAGATTTCTATGTAGGAATGTTTATTACTTGAACACAGATTTTAAAAAATATTTAATTTAGAAACATTTTTGCCCAGCTTTTTCAAGACTCTCCCCCACCTTGAACTTTAAAAAAAAGAAAAAAAAAATTATATATACTAATTTTAAAAGTAAGAAAAATATGGGAGTGTTAATTTTAAGGTACTTTTAATTGAACTTTGTACATTGTTTAAGTAAATTTTGATTCATATCAAGTCTGTAAAGCTTGGCATTGTATTTTGTGTATGCATGTTTTCATTTTGCAAATACTTAATATATAGACCTATGCTGTACATCTATAGGTTACGTAGATGTTATGGGTACTTTTAGTTTATCGTGAGTACTGCGGTTGCATAAGTAGCTAGTAATCACTGGGCTGAATAGCTGCAAGCTTGTCATTATTTTTTAAGCTGTAAAGGAAACTGAAACTGTATCGGACATAGGTTTTGTTCTAGGCGAAGCAGCGCGTAATCAATTGCTCTGTTCAACTGCTAAGGCATTAGTGAAAGTGTAAACTTGAGACTGCATGTATTTTGATATCTACAGGACTGCTTGGTTAAAATAAAAATTGAAGCCCTGTGCTAATTTGTTCACAAATAATGGACTGTACTGATTGCCACTGTACTTTGTTAATATTTTGACATTTGCTACGTGTCCTTCTCATCCCCTGGAACACAACTTGAAACTTATGTCACTAGAGTTCATCTCCTTTTTTTGTTTGCCATGAAGTACGATCTGTACATACCCCGTCTGAGTTGGAATTTTATGCATGTTCTGAACTATTCAAGTATTTTATAAACAGTAGCACACAATAAATTTTGTGCATGGGCTGCGGCTCCTATCCCTGTGTATTGGTTTTATTTGGCATACTGGGGTCTCATCTGACCCTGAAAATTGGTTAGAAATGCTCTTCCAAATCTAAGCTATTGAAGGAATAGCCAACGAGGTGAGATTTAGCTTGCGGAGAAATCATTTAACGTAAATACTATTCTATTTCATTTTTTTTAATCGTTATTTCTCATGTATTGAATATCTGAGCATCTTCTGTCTGCCAGTCTCCATTGCTGGGTAGTGCAGCCATGAGGACGGCCATGTCCCACGTGTGTCACTTTGAGCTGAGGGCTATGGTGCTGGTGGAGCCTTGGGCGCACTGGGGGTGGGATGGGGCTGTTTCGACAGTCGAGGCAGATACCTGATTTAGGGCTTTTCGTGTGTTCTCTGTAAGTAGGACAAGCTGCTGAGCGAGATGAGAACACAACTGATGTGACACTAATGGAGTTTTAACGTTTGCTTTTACTTTATTGCAGATGCGTTGTAACTGGGAACTGTTCTCAAAGTCTGTGCGCAGAAGTTCAAGTTAACAAATGGTAAGTTGGTTTTTTTCTGAAACCCACAGCCGTGAGCTGTGCAGTCTGTGTGCAGTGTGTCAGAGCAGAACAGCCAGCTGGTGGTGCAGTACAGCCCAGGTTTTACATAGTGAGCATTGTGATGGGACCTTCCTCCTAAGCACCAACAGCATTTCCCAAGACCGCATATTCACGGTTTGATACTGCAGTCTTCATTCTCAGTGTTCTGGTTAGCTCAAATTGTATGCGCAGAGAAAATACAAATCTTTGTGAGAAAAGGCCTTGCTGTGTGACAGAGAACTGGCTCTCATCTGGCAGGCATTGCTGTGCAACAGCTCTGCTCACCTCCCTGAGAATCCCCTTCCAGCTGTTGTCAATAGCAGTGTTTGCCAGATATGAGGGTAGAGGTGAAGTAAATGTTATAGTCAAGTTATTGTCAAGCTGTTTGTCATACAGTGTACATTCTGTCAGCCTTTAAGCAAGTAATCAGGTAAAAGAATTGTGCCTGTGAGCTTTTTCTGTTTAGAAAGTAATCCCTCCTTGTTTGCTGCTGTTTCTGAAAGGTCTGGAGCTGTCTCTAATTCTTGCATTGTTGAAGAGGAAAAAAAGGTATCCTGCCTCTCAGAAAACTGTAAGTTGTTTCGCTTTGTTTTCCGCTTCCAGGATTTTAAGTGGGAGGAAGGTTCTGCATATCGTTAGCGTTAGTCTGTTCTCAGTGGGGAGGGGGAAATGCTTGGCAATAGCTCTGCCAGCCCACGGATGCAACAGCAAAGCAAAGAGCTGTGGTTTCTGCAGTGCTGCTGTCTGCAGGGAGAAGGGTTGGGAGGTGGTGGGGGTGGGGAAGTGTTCTGGGTGTTCTGAGAAATGTGAATGCATTTTAGCGAATCTGAAAAGCAGGCCTGAAAGTACAGAACGTGTTTGAGGATGGTTTTTTGGCCTCCTGTTCAATAGAGCTTTGTGCTGCTGAGACACTTGCTGCCACCTGCTGAGCTGAGCCAGGAAGGCAGCCCAGTTCACAATGTCTGCTCACATTTAGTTCAGTGGCAGACATAATGCTGAATGTTTAATAGAAGAGATTTTTGTATAGTGGATTTTTTTATCTGTTACTGTTTTACAAATACTTTTATTACGTGTGTACAATGAAAGATTTGCCATATAAGAATGGATTCTACCAGCTGCTACTGGTTTTGTTAGAGGGGTAAGAAAAAAAGAGCTTTGCGTTTTGTATGTGAGGCCTATATACGATATTCACTAGTTAAAGCATTGCTTAGAAATGTTAGGAAACTCATTGTTAGCTGCTGGACTTCATGCTTCCATTAAATTTATGGCTGGGGACAGATACAGCGTGGTTTTCTATAAAAACAAATGCACTACTCAAAGCTGGTTTTCTGTTTTCCTTAATCCTCTGAAACCATTGCTGCATCATTTGTATTGTGTGTCGCTGTCACTTTCAACTTGGATTAACACATGTTCTGTAGTGTTAGTATTTGCTTACAGCAAATTACGGAACAATGAAAGAACAATATAACCCACTTTTTTACAAGGCAGTACTTCAAAATTAGATTTGAAATTGCTTCTCCTTTCTATTGCTGCCTTAAGCACAATGCTAACTACCTCCTAATCATAACTAATTAAAGAACTTACATAGAGAAGGCATAGTCATCTTCTGCCAAGGTGCTTAAACTGTACAGTGTGACTTAAACTGAGCACTTGCTGCTTTTTTCAACGTTAGGAGGGGAAGACAGAAAATAATTCTTATTAGAGAACATTTTTTTTTTTTTTTGTCATCTGCAGTTAGCTCTGTAGTTAAGTTTAGAGATTTCAAGGAAGTAATTATGCAGGAGTTTGTAAGAGGGGAGGTGGTTTTGTCTGGGTAAAACAAACAAACCTAAGGCTTAGGGCTAGTAGACAAGATATATCTTTTATTATACAATAAAGAGTAATAGGTGCTGTAAATTAAGGCAAGTGTAAGTGCAAAAAGCTTAATGAATCACCAAGAAGGCGTGTTTGATTATATGTTATTCTTTTACGCACAAGAGTAGTCGGTGTCTGCATGAAGCATGTTACATGTCCTTCGGTTTGTTTTAAAAAAGAAAACAAACAGCCAGGTAACTGTCTTCTATTGACCAACAATTGCCAGTAGCAAACGCCTGTAATCGCCGCTTGTATCACTTGCTATCATTGTAGCCAGAGTCTTCTGATACATTTCTGTGAACTTCTGTTTAATTTGCACCAGATCAATCTGTGCAAAGAAGATAAAAGAAAGTGTGAGACTTAAATACAAAGTATAATTCTAACTCCTAGATATAACTGTGCATCTCTTTCCTCACACTGAACACAAGTCAAGGGTGCAGTGTGCAACTGATCAGTTCTGTAATTTGTACAAGCCAACTGGTCCCTCTACAGCTGCTCCCAAAGCAGAGGCTGGCTTGTTCCTTGCTTTGGTAGCACGGTAGTATCCTGACTTCATAGAGTTGAAGTTGAGATGCTTTTCTGCTACATGGGCAAACAACCACAATGAGAAAGGAAGACAAGCAGCATTGCTATTTAGCCAGAGACTTAAATTATTCTATGAAACTTGACTTCAAAACTTTGTTCATTTAAATCTGAAATGGATAGAAGCTTTACTGCAATGCATGATTGCTACAGCTGTGAAAGAAGGACTGCATAAAAAGGTGGTTAGAGAAGATAGACCTCACAAGGAGTGGAAAGCTACAGAGGAGAAGGTTTCTTACCTCACTGCGAGTGACTACAATTCTGATGAGGGTAGAATCATCTGTGCCAGCTCCTTTCATAGAATGATAAAGCCTTTCTGCAAAAAAGGCTGGGCGATCGAAGGCGCATTGCACTGCAATAAGGTATATTCTTAGGATTAGTTCCAGTATTGTACAGTGATACTGGCAGGATCAGTTCAGGATTTATGTTGTAGTCAGCTGCAGGTAGCTGTCAATACAGATTCTGTTATTCTGGATTACAGTAACTGTTTTGCTAAAGTGGGTTTATTTTGAAGCTGAACAAATGAGTTATTACTTCACAAGAAAAGTTGTAGATATTACCAGTTAATTTTTCTGAAAGTGCTTTTTACAGGTGACTGAAACCTTAATTCTCAAACAGGTTGTTTCCAGTTCTTTTCCTTACATAGCTGGTACCAGGATATGAGCACTTTTACTGGTGTTCCATTGCTAGGCCCCAGTAACAAAAGTACAAAAGTAAATAGTTTTCATTCACAAATAGCTACAGAATCTGCTAAATCTGTTAGATTTTTTTTTTACTGTTTTTTTCTTCTATGTGATCCTCAGGGATCATTTTTTCCTGCAGAACTTGAGTAGAATATAGTCTGGGAAGAACTTATTTAGTATGATAGCTTTTAATCACTATGGTTGCAGACATGCTGTCAGTTTGGTAAACAGTGGTAGAGCTGGTGTGCAGAGTACTGGTTTCACTTCAGTAACTCATACTGATCCTGTCAGAAGTCATAACAAATTTGAAATGCTTTTCTAGAAGTTGGCAGGGATTAGTGAAATCAGAACAGGTCTTCTCTTCTGGTAATGCTTTCCTCAGAAATGTTGAGCTTTTGAGGGGTAGGTGGTGGCAGAGGATTGTAGAGTGAACCATGCCTAAAAGTAGCTTCATGGTGGGTCTGAGATCACATGTGGGGTGGTTCAGCTATCTCTGCCTCTGTTAGTGGCACTGGCTTCATTTTGCAGGGCTCTGAAACACAGAACCACCAGTGCTAAGCAGTGTCCCTTGCTTCTGTGTAGTCACATGTCTTTCTAGACAAGTAGTTTCTGTGTAACCTTCTCTGGCTTCAAACCACCAGCTAGATGTCTGTTTCCTCCAAGTGCAAAGTGAGTAATCTGAATAATTAAAGTTACTTTTGTAGTAATAGAGTCTCAGATTGTATATTCATTTGCCATATGGCCAGTGCTGAATTGGATTCTTCCTCAATTACTTTTAGAAAATTAAATTCTTAGGGGATAAGAGTAAGGAAGAAAGTATCACTTACAAATAGCCTTCAAGCCACGTTCCACATTTCCAGAAAATTCTCGATCAATGCTGCTTGCTAAGTCACGATTAGCAATCTACAAATAAATGAGATCAACTTGTGGATCACGAAATGCAGCAACATTTGGAACCTTAGTTCAAAATATGCTGACCAAACTCATTTGAAGTCAGTGAAGAATTCCTACCCTGGAATACGCCTCAGCTGTTGCTCTCAACTGGGGAAAACTTCTGCTTGCCAGCACCATATTAAAGCAAGATTCATCCGTCCCGAGTTTTCCTTCACCTGCTTGGTAAAGACGCTGAGCATCTTCTTGAGCTTTTTGATAATCCACGGTTTGATTCTCATCCCGGTTACCCTAAAAGCAAGGTTAGCAGAAGTCAAATGAAGTAGCACAGAGAAGCTGTGCTTTCACTGCTTGGAGTACAGACCCCAAGCGTGTATCTCCGAAGCTTGAAGTAGGATGAGTGATACCAGTGAGAAATACATTACATTGCTTTAAAACTATTATTTGGATTAATATTTCTTAGAAAAAATATAATTGTGGCCCAAAACTTTGTCAGTAGGGTTTGGTTTAAACTGTGGATATACTGCGTGTGTATTTGTATATATATACATACACACTCATATGTTGCTTCACCTATGAATACATTTTCATCTGGTCTTTTTCAGGAACTGCACTCAATTCTCTATTTTATTTAATAATGAAAGCTTTCTCTTGATTTGTTTCTAGGCTTCAAGTTGCAATGAATCTTCCTAAATGAACTAATGAATTACCTTTCTGAATATGCACACCTGAAATATCTCAGGTCCTATATTATATTTAGAATTGCTAATTTCAACTATGAATGTATCCAGAAAATATTTATTATAGTTGTAATATGTCAAGTAGGGCTTATGTGACATTTTATGCGCTTTGGGATTTGCATTCTTGCTGCACAGTGCATGGATGGATGCTGCTAAATGTATTGGCTGAGTAGGCTAAATACACACTCTTAAATACTATTGTGTCTGTAGCTGTTAATATAATATTTAAAGTATGTGGTTGTCAGTTACTGTACTGGATTTATCAAAATAAAAATTAGCATGAGCTTCAAGCTTTGCTTTCTTGTGGACTTTGATTTTGTAACTCAAATGCCTGGTGAATAGCTGAACTCTCATAAAGGTAGAAGCAAACAGAGTAGAGAAGAGTCGTAGAAATTCAAGGCAGGTGTATCAGAAAAATGTGGGAAGTTGCACGTGCTGTGTATTTCTTTCTAAACATGGATAACAGCAAGTTACTGTTCTTCAGTACAAAAAGAGCCCCAGTAAATAACATGAGATAAGCAGCCTTCAGTGTTCACAGGAGTGTAGTGGTAGCACACGTGTACTGCTGGTTATCTGAAGGGAGGGTTACAATGTGATTTGGAAGGTGATGTTTTGTTTGAGGGAACTCTCACAGATATTTTACGTGCTATAAAGGTCATCCTAACAAAATTACCCAAATAATGTTACGCAAAAAAAAAAGAAGCACCTGGCTTTAACAGCAGCGTGGAGCACTGCTTGTAGCATGTGCTATTTGAGCATCTGCTCAAAGTATTTACACAGATCTTCTGTGGGGAATACAGAGTGCTCGATTAAGTCGCTCAATATGTCATATAGATAAGAAGGAATTCTTCCTTGAGGAGGAGTTGAGGTGTTGTATCTTGTTAGAAAGGAAATTAGTCTAGGGCTGGCTTCAGTCTCTGGCTAAGCAGGCACAGGCAATTCATTAATGGAACAATTATGGATATATGCAAGGAATGCACGTGCATGTCTTAAAAGTAAAAATTGTCTCACTTGGCACATAGATACAAGTAACCGTTCAAAGTGTCCAGAAGTGTCTGCTCTGATGTCTTGTTCGATGTCCCTTCCAAATTCTGATTTATAGCAGTTCACTATTTCTCGTATTTCCTGGTTTGTCCTTGTGCAAAGGATCTCTATCAGCACTCTCTCCTGCGTGCCTGCTCCCTGTAGGCAAAGCAAAAGAAGGCGTAACTACAGAGCACTACCTACTTCATTTTGTTCGACTGTAAAAATAAGCAACCAGCTGTTATTTTAAAAGAGAATACGATTCCTATTGTAAGAACAGTGTTCTAGTTGGTGTGAAAGCACCAAGTTCACCAAATGCTGAACGTGGAATGAAGATTTCTGAAATGCTCAGTTCTGCACTGGCTTAAAATAATACCCTGTCTACTATGGCAATGTCAGCCATAGGTAACAGAGTGTAGGTTTAAGAAGAAAATGAAAAAATGATTTGGCAACCTTATTCTGGGAACATATTGGAGGAAGGCAGAGCCTTCTGATAGCCCTTAAAGTCAGACATATGCATATAAATACTCTGAAGGTGAGTTTCTTATTCCAAAGGTGACTGGTTCCTCTGCATGGAGGACCAGCAGAAACTTTTCATAGCTGGTTTCCTCTGCTCAGGATAGAATTTAACTGGGGGTTCTGAGTACAGACACATCCGCTGGCATGACCATCACTATTCGGGCAAGGATTGCGTAGGCTTAAATCTATATGAACCTTCTGAGTAGTACTGTAACATGGTTAATTTTTTTAAATGGTTGTGTAGGTCTTGCCCCCACTAAAGCTAGATCTTCATTTGTGCTCCATATTCTTTAGAGATCTGCATTGCTATCTGATTTAAGTGACTTGTTTCCAGTAGTCAGCCACCTGCTAGCTGCTGCCACTCGAGCAAGGAATTCAGGTAAGTTGGACATACCAGTTTACCTGAGTTAGAAGGTTAAATCAGCTTGCTCACCTAACCCCTAATGTGGATTTAACACCCAAAGAGATACTTGCATCCCCTGACCTTAAGAAAATACTCCTTCATTTTTGTCCTGTTAAAAAAAAATTAGGTTATCTAAAACTATCAGTTAGTAGCTATGGCTTGTTTCCAGCAGGGAGAGGTATGCAACTTCAGTGTAAACAGTGCTTATTGGTTAAAAGAACTCTGGCTCTCATTAGGTTCTAGCAAAAAGAATGACCAAGAGAGGGGCAGAGAATAAAATTCAATCGTGCAGCATTCATTCCCTGCTGGACAGCTGCTGCAAACTGACCAATCCTGCAGTACTGGCACATGCAGCAGAGAAGAATTCTAACCTCAACAGTCCCTAAATTTGTTTTCCGCAAGATTTTTCAACAGTGCAGAGATCAGGTATTTTGTTTTCTTGAATGAGCATTTTTAGATGGTTTTGAATTATTTTGTTCACAGGAGAACCATACCTTCATTGCATGACGTAAACTCCAGGCATCATAGTAAGTTCTAGGCATGAAGAGTGCCAGGATCAGTTCTTCCACATTTCCACTTAATTCAGACTTCAGGTCTTTAATTAAATCCTGTCCAATTAGAAGCACAAAAAGGCCATTGTTATATAATATGTGAGCTACAAATTACTCTTAACACATTGTTCAAGTGGCACAAATTTTCACACACACGCCCAGATTAGAGCAGCTGATGAGCTTCTGCTTTTGTTTGCTACAGTACATTACATTGTTATCCATCTCCTGAGAATCCCTAATATCCACCAAGAGCACGGCCATCGCTCCCCTCTTTGAGAATACTGGTAAAACAGATAGCAGCACACATCCATAACTCTGTAGTGACTGGAGTGCTCACTGAGGAAGGAGTGCTGAGTTCAGTTCCTTCCTGCATCAAGTATTTCCAACCCTACAACTCCAGTTACTTGCAGAATTACTTATCGTATTTTAGATACGAACCAACAAGTTCAGCCCGGTGGGGAAAGAGCTGATTTTTTCAGGGAGATTCAAGTTGGATATTATAAAAAATTTCTTCTCTGAAGGAGCAGCAGTGCACAGGAATGGACTGCCCAGGGAGGTGGTGGAGTCGCTGTCCCTGCAGGAGATGTGGGGATGTGGCACTGAGGGATGTGATCAGTGGGCACAGTGGTGACGTGTTGACGGTTGGACTTGATTTTCAAGGTCTTTTCTAACTTTTAAGGATTCTGTGATTCTTTCAGAGTAGTGCTACTAAGCAGATAAAAATGTAAGATTTCACCACAGCAAAAAGCACAGAAAAGAAATGATTTGAAAGCAGGTGTCTGCAAGACAGACTCCTTTGGAAAAGAACCTTCCATTATGTATCATAAAGGGGGCAACAGGAGTAGACGGTCTGCAATTTTCAGGTGAGCAGAGTTACAGCAATAATGGCATGGAGCTGAGTTACTCCAGCGTGCTGTGCCTTAGCAGTGATCCTCAACCAATTTATCAGTTGGCTTTTTAGTGGGAAAAAAAAAAGTTATTTCAGCACTAATATTTGTGCACAAAACCTCAGGAACATCATACAATAAGACAGTTTAATCTCAATTAATTTCTGTCTTCTAAGTACTGTCAACTCAGAAAAGTTTCTGCTTTGCTGAGGGACCTTGCCAGACTGCCGTATGCCTTCACTTCTACCAGGTATCAGAACGCTTGAATACCAGGTGTCTACATGGTATGCAGTGAAAAATATAACCCAAAGAGGTGCATTTAATAAATGCCCCAAACCACTCTCCAGGACTAAAATGCAATTAGGCAGTTACACATCAGCTGAAATGATGGGTTTTGTTTACTGAACGTACCTTGCCATACATCGTCTTGAAAGCTGCCTTGATTTTTTGCCTTTGGTCATTGGAGCGGTTAGATACAACATCAATGATAGCCTTCTCATCAGTCCCTTGGAAACAGAACAGCAATGGGAGAACTTGTAATAATCCATCTAAGGCAGTGCATTTTTTAATCTCACATTTTTGCATAGTTATATAATAAGTGCATGAATATCATTTAAGTGTGTTTACCAAATTTTCTTTGTAACTTAGAGTCTACTAAATCTCTTTTGGTGTGACTTCTGATAAGCTTTTGGAAAAATGAATACCTTTATGGTTAGATACAAACTGAAGCACCAAATGGCATTGACACGTTACAAATGTAATGCCTGTTGCTTACTTACCAAAACCTTTCATAGCTTTGCGCAGAATTTCTGCATCCCTTCCAGCATCAAAGTTTGGAGCAGCTTGAATTGTGCCCTGAGTATACTGAGCCATTGCTGCAGGCTGAAAACAAAAGCGATGTATAACTAGCAATCCTGCACAATACTAATTCAACTTTAAATAACTGCTTAGCAGTGAGTACTTCAGAGGGAGGAGCCACAGAATGGTTTGTTCCACTTGTTCTGCTGGCTCACCATTTTTCTCTGACACAAAATCAGGGTGACAGTTGTGTTGAACAGCTTTGGTCGACCACCACTGCCAGAGCAATGCCTTTATGCAGGCCTGCATGGTGAGCATACAGAGATACTGACTGATGGTTTTGTTTGGGGTGTATTCTGAGTGTGGCCAGGAACTCTGCAATGACGTCATTGCTGCTTTTACACCAAAGGAAAGTTTGTCAGTGTTAAACAGTTGATAATGTAGGACCAATTCATATCCTTTCATATCAAACTCATTGAGAAACGCTGTATTAAAATGCCTGTAGGCAAATACATGACAGCTTAAATTTTATTACTTTCAATTAATTATTCAAATTATAGAGTAAATCGGAATCCTGTTGATCCTATTGAAAGCAATGTCAACAAATCAATTACTTTTCTGCATGGCAAGATGCATACTCTGTTTGGGTTTTTTTCCTTTTTTCCCTTTAGCAGAAAGCCCCTCTGAAATTCTATGATAGACAACCTGAGTGCTGCAGTGATGCAGTGACGTTCAGGGTTGTATTACCTGAGTTCCCCTTTGCCCAGAACTGCCTCTAATAGCAATTCTTCCTTGCACTGGGGACAAAATAAGGGACTGTTATTAAACAACCTTTATTAATAATATCAGAATACATTTTCAGCCATCAGTGCCTGTTTGTCTGTGACGCATCCCCAGCTCGTATCCAGGCCTCCTCCCTAATATTTGCCATACACCCAATCTCCCACTAACAGCAAGGTGAAAAAAATAGAGAAGCAACATTAAGATCTTATTATATTAAGATAAAAAAAGCACACAGCACATACCGGACCAGGTGTTGGTGATGGTGCTTGTCCACCAGGATAGCCTACTGAAAATGAATGAAATAACAAAATAAACAGATTAATTATGTTTCTTCTTATTATATAAATGCTAATTAAGCTGAAAGTAAAACCATTTATAGACATGGTAAGTTACAGGTCTACCACAGCAATAACCTATGTGCTAAGTAACAATACCTATAACTGAAGCTCTTGCCATTGAGAACAGTGGGAAGAAGCAATCACGAAGCATTCTGGTAGATACTTTAGTGAGGCACTAATAAAAATGCTAAATTTACTGGTGCTGTGAGAGCTGGAAGAATCTCTCCTTATTAAATATGGCTGCCGTTGATGAAAGCCAAGATGATCCATGCAAATGAGGAATGCACGTCCCATGCTCTCTGGCAGAGTCATTTTATTTATGTTAAAATGTCTACAACATATTAACAACAAATGCTGAGAATTCACTGGTGCAAGAACTGAAGAAATCTCATTTCATGTTCAAAATCATTGTGAATACAAAAGATGCAACCACTTTTTAAAACTGATATTTTATTTTTATCTATAGTGCATATGCACAGTTAATGTTGTTTTAATGGCAGCTTAATTATTAAAGTCAGTGAAACAATCATTAAAAGAAAGTTTGCTGCTCTGAATTTCTTGCAGACGCAACTGACATCCCAGGACAAAAATGTTTTTGATGGTAACTGACTACTCAAAGCATGAAGAACAATGCACTGGGTTTAAGCAACGGTGTGCATTCTCCTTTCCACTCCCTCGTAATTCCTGGGATCACTGTGAACACATATCTGCTCAGGTTCCTGAAAAATATATCCATGTCTCTGAGATGAGCAGAACTACCAGATATCTGTTGAGTGTGGATTCCCAATTTAACATTTCTGGTCAGATAAGTGCAGTTTGAAGAAGGATAAGCACCTAACCAATGATCGTTAAGCACTGACAGCCATCCCTTTTGAATGCAGCACATAAAGGTGATTCTCACCTGCTCTTCACTTGTCAGGAAAGGTGAAAGGACACGCACAGCATTCAGACCTCAATGGCTAACAGTAACAAAGGTAAGGGCCTATTTTTTTTTTCTTACTATCTATCTTGGGATCTCTTGGTTTAGCCTTGGATTCTTGATGTAGCATACATATGGCACGGAAGCATCCACATACCAGGAATTTGTGCTGGTCCACCTCCACCATAGCTTTGGGCAGGAGGCTGGGGATAGCCACCAAAGCCAGGGCCAGAGGGAGGCACGCCAAACCCAGGGCCTGTGGGAGTTAGGAGCAGATAACAGATTTTAGCACACAGCATTTCTGGTTTCTGGCACAACATGAGCCACAGCATTGAGCTGCACAAGAGATTGTTTCTTTTCTCTCTATCTATGCAGTGGCTCACAACCCAAAGCCATCAAAACTCTGCTATTAGCATGCAGGTACTTATTGGTAGGTAGCAATCTGGCTGTCTAGACCCTGCTGCCTAAATTGATCACTGAACAATCGCTTGCTTTTCTTTACTACTTTCCCGAGCACAAAGACTTGGTTACAACAGAAATAACTCCCAAGGGCTGGATCTTACCTCCAGGATAAGATGGCATTCCTCCAGCCTGGGGAGCTCCAGGGAAGCCCCCTGGGGCAGGATATCCTCCTGCCTCTGGATACCCAGCACTGGGTGGTGCTGCAGGAAAGCTCCCTCCTCCTGCTGGAGGATATCCTCCAGGAGCAGCAGGGTAGGTGTACTGCCCAGCGGGCGGATAGACAGACTCCTGTCCTGTGGGCTGAAATACAAAGAACCCACGAGATGTCTGTACTCTATTACAGAGTGAAAACTCAAGCTACTAAAATGTCCATATATGTGTAATAATGTGATTAGGTTTAGCTCTTAGGAGCAGCAGCAGCATTCCCTAAACCTAGACACGGGCCTTCTGGCTGGGTCCTCTGATGCATCTCCCTAGCAGTAAAATCTAGCTCAAAGGCCCACCACCACACCATTGTGCCCAGGAAGATCCCCTTCCTTTTGTTCAGCCAGACTCAACAAAAAGATTTTAATAGGATTTAGATTTGCAAATCCAAGGTTTGGATCCCATAGGCCTGCTAGGATGACTATCAATATTACCGAAAATAATTTCACATTGACTTTTTGCACTATTGCAGACTAGAAAACCTAGCATGGCTACTCTGGCATCTACATGGTCTTTTAAATTTGTGAACCGAAGCTGCTAGATTTTAGATGCCAGCTTAAAAAATAATCATAGTATCATTTGAGTTAGAAGGGAACTTAGATGTCATGTAGTCCAACTCCCTTGCAATGAACAGAGACAATTGTGAGGGTTCAGCAGAACGTTGAATAGGGTAAAGAAATCCCAAAGTTAAGAAAGTCTGGCTTCTGACACAGTTATCTCTTTAGTCTGACTGACTTTGGTGTTTCAGAGGGAGTCTGGGTAAATTGTAAAGCAAAATAACTGAAGAATTTACTGCATATACTTTGAGTTTTTCACTATTTTATGGGACATAGGCTGAGCTCCATTTTAAGTCAAGTACTACATAAATAGAATTGCCACAATTACGTTATGTTCGGTGCCTTACCAATTAAAGCACGAAATTGTGTCGAGCTTTGAAAAAACAAAACAAAACACTGCAACATCAACCATGCCTGATACATTCCAGGCCTTCCAGTTTCACTGGAGTTTTCAGTCCATTCAGTCATGAACTGAAGGTGGAATAAAGTACTGTGGCTGAAGGACTGGGGGTCAAAGTCAAGTTAAAGTGTCCAATATCCTCAGAAAAATATTTACTCAGTGTTGTGGGAAAGCTGGGTTCTTGAGCTTGGATTGCTCAGCAGCTTTACTCCTGAACGAAATGGCCAGGATGTGGGCATACAGGTGGTTTGGGAGACACTGGTTCAGACAATACCCTGTTCCTAAAGATCCTCATATTTGTTAACAATTACCAATGCTTTAAAAATAAATCAATAAATAAAGCACCATTTTGCTGAGGTAGTTAGCTGTATGCATGAGAAAACAAAACAGAATGAAAAAGACTAAAAACATCAAGGTAACAACCTAAACAAGAAGCAGCCACCCACCCTCTGGAACAATGGGTGATATTATAAAATATGTATCGGACTTCCTTCTTGGAGTTCATTTGAGATAAATGCAAAGTCACACTCAGAGATGGATATGTAGATAAAAACAGCTGCTATTTACGTGCACACAGTGAGAAGGGATGTTGGCTCTAAATACACTGGGAATGCAACACAGGTAAAAGCCATACTTACAGGGTAGCCAGGGAAAGCAGGGTAGCCAGAAGGGGGATAACCTGGGTATGACATTCTGGAAGAAAAAAAAAAATTCCCTGTCAGTCACTACATGAGTGTGTAGCTGCCACTTGTTGGTTTAGTAACTGTGACGTTACTTGAGCAACTCAGTTAATTCATTCAGTGTTGCTAAAAGTACTCATCAGCTACAAAACCACAAACCTTTTCCTTTTTTTTTTTTTTAATTTTTTATTTTTTTACACAGTACAGCAAGCAGAATTCAGAAGAGAAGCATCATCAACTTTGTAATTACTTGCTACCTTAATTAGGTCAGATAGATGTTGAAGCACAGTAAGAGTGCTGAACCTCCAAAAGTAATTCTGGAATACAGGCTACAGAGCTTGAAGTCTCAGCAGGAAGGGGCTGAGC